CTCTCTCCTCCTCTCAGGGCTGCAGCCTGGGGAGGCAGAGCGGGAAGCCAGGACCCTGTTCCGCAGCAGGTTGACAGCCCTCGATTACCACAACCCTGCCGGCATCAACTGCAAAGATGAAACAGAATTTTAGAAACTTTATTGTTTGGCTTGAAACCAGAAAATCAGACGCTACAAGATTGAAGACAGAGGTAATTTAAGAAACATCCACAGCAATGACTGGCTCAAGTTCTTTGAAAAGTATCTCACAGATGTTAGCTGTCCTTTCAGGATTCAAGATCGACAAGAAGCAATTGACTGGCTTCTTGGTTTAGCCGTTAGACTTGAATATGGAGATAACGCTGAAAAATATAAAGACTCAGTATCTGATAATACAAAAAATGCTGACAGTGCAGCTAAAAATGCAGAGCCATTGATCAATTTGGATGTTAATAATCCTGATTTTAAGGCTGGTGTAATGGCTTTGGCTAACCTTCTTCAGATTCAACGTCATGATGATTATCTGGTAATGCTTAAGGCAATTTGCATTTTGGTCCAGGAACACCTGACACAGGATGCAGTTGCTAAAGCAAATCAAGCAAAAGAGGGGTTGCCTGTTGCTTTAGACAAGCATATTCTTGGTTTTGACACAGAAGATGCAGTTGTTTTTTTTTAATATATATTTTATTGATTTTTTACAGAGAGGAAAGGAGAGATAGAGAGTTAGAAACATCGATGAGAGAGAAGCATTGATTAGCTGCCCACACTGGGGATGTCCCTGCAACCAAGGTACATGCCCTTGACAGGAATCGTGCCTGGGACCTTTCAGTCCGCAGTCTGATATCCACTGAGCCAAACTGGTTTCAGCAAGATGCAGTTCTTAATGAAGCTACTCAAATTCTTCGATTGCTGCATATAGAAGAGCTCAGAGAGCTACAGACAAAAATTAATGAAGCCATAGTAGCTGTTCAGGCAATTATTGCTGATCCAAAGACAGACCAGACTGGGGAAAGTTGGAAGATGAACCTTTTAGGATTTTAGCCTCTCACCTATTTAGTACAGTTGGGAACCATGCACACCATGGTATGTGTTTCAAAATCACACATCACATTTTCAAGGGAAGAATCCTGGAAAATCGACTATGTTGTAGAAATTTAAAAAAAAAAAAAATATATATATATATATTTTTAATATACTTTATTGATTTTGTACAGAGAGGAAGGGAGAGAGACAGAGAGTTAGAAACATCGATGAGAGAGTCATCGATCAGCTGCCTCTTGCACACCCCCTACTGGGGATATGCCCGCAACCAAAGTACATGCCCTTGACCGGAATCGAACCCGGGTCCCTTCAGTCCCCAAGCTGACGCTCTATCCATTGAGCCAAACCGGTCTTGGCTAAATATATTTTTTTATTGATTTTTTACAGAGAGGAAGGGAGAGGGATAGAGAGTTAGAAACATCGATGAAAGAGAACCATCGACCTCCTGCACACCTCCCATGGGGGATGTGTCCACAACCAAGGTACATGCCCTTGACTGGAATGGAACCCGGGACCCTTGAGTCCGCAGGCCAACGCTCTATCCACTGAGCCAAACCGGTTTTGGCTGTTGTAGAGATTTATCATCATTGCTTTTTCTTTAATAAAATTTGGGAAAGCAAAAGAAGAAGAAAGAAAGAAAGAAAGAAAGAAAGAAAGAAAGAAAGAAAGAAAGAAAGAAAGAAAGAAAGAAAGAAAGAAAGAAAGAAAGAAAGAAAGAAAGAAAGAAAGAAAGAAAGAAAGAAAGAAAGAAAGAAAGAAAGAAAGAAAGAAAGAAAGAAAAGAAAGGAAGAAAGAAAGAAAGAAAGAAAGAAGAAAGAAAGAAAGAAAGAAAGAAAGAAAGAAAGAAAGAAAGAAAGAAAGAAAGAAAGAAAGAAAGAAACATTGGGACAAAATTATGTTTCTATAAGATTAAGATTTATAGAAAAATTAATGATCACACTCTTTGTATTAAAAAACAACAACAACAAAGAGAGCCCTACCCAGTTGTTCAGTGGTTAGAGCATTGGCCCACACACCAAAGGGTCACAGGTTTGATTCCCGATCAAGGGAATATACCTCAGTTATGGGCTTGATCTCTGGCACAAGTGGGAGACAACTAATCAATGACTCTCTCTCTCTCTCTCTCTCTCTCTCTCTCTCTCTCTCTCTCCACCTCCCTTCCACTCTATCTAAAAGCAATGGAAAAATATCATTGGGTATAGATCAAAATAAATAAATAAAAGCAAAAAGACACATGAAGTCAAAAAACAAACAAAAAAACTGGGGTGAGGGTGGGTTAAGAATGTTAAGAGAATTGTCCAGTCTGCAAAAACATATACAGTCTGCAAAGGAAAAAAAGAAAAAAAAAGAAAATAGAAAGCCATAAATGTTTGTGTCAAGTGACTAGTATATTTCCAAGGAAGGACAAAACTTAGGGGATGATATGGAATAAAGAAAAAACTCTAATGTAATTGCAATAAGGATGGCAGAGAAGAAAAAAGAGGACATTCCCTTCAATGTGAGGCCTGGGACACAAGGAATGAGCCCAAAATAGCAGCCACTGGCTGGATTGGAGGTCAGGGAAAGAAAGAGTCTTCATATAAAAAAAAAAAAAAGGAGAGAAAAAGCTAAGGATGGAGAGGCTGGTAGAGGTGAGGTTACAGGAGGCAAAGACCAGCAAGTGAAGGCTTTCCTCTGTTGTAATATAAACAAGAACGTGTTAGAAAGATGTAATGTACTTCACAGTTTTAAACTCTCTTTCCATATGTTGCTACATTTGGGCAAGAAACCATTTCTGTGTGTCTCCTCAAACTAGAGATGCAACCATTAGAAAAGAATTTGCTACAGGGAGGAAAAGTGGTTGATCAAAATTTGGGGGGGCCCTTGACCGCATTTGTAATTATTTTATGTTTTAGGCAAAATTATTAAGACATTAAAGTCTACTCTATTATTTTCTACAGCTGTTGGTACGCCTGAAAAAATTTACAACATAAAAGAAAGATAGGAAGAAAGGGAGGGCGAGGGTACAGTCGCCTTATCATGCAGACAGTTGACAAGATGTCTCAGATGCCATCCTTCATACCAACAGGGATTTGGATCTGTGTGGTTAATGTCTTGATGGACCTTTAATAAGCCAGTACACCTGTAATAAGCCACCTCACACCTATCAGAATAGTTACCATCCACAAATCAACAAATGACAAGTGCTGGTAAGGATGTGGAGAAAAGGGAACTCTAGGACACTGCTGGCGGGAATGCAGACTGGTGTAGCCATTATGGAAAACAGTATGGAGTTTTCTCAAGAAATGAAATATGAAACTGCTATTTGACCCAGTGATCCCGCTTCTAGGAATATATCCTAAGAAACCCTAAACACCAATCAGAAAAAAGTGTTTGCACTCCTATGTTCATAGCAGTAAAATTTACAATAGCTAAACTCTGGTAACTGCCCAAGTGCCCATATGCAGATGAGTGGATAAAAAAGCGGTGGTACATTTACACCATGGAATGCTATGCAGCATTAAAAAAAAAAAAAATAAAAGAAGGATCTCTTAACCCTTTGAGTCAGCCTGGTAGAGACCTGGAGAATATTATGCTAATTGAAATAAGCCAGTTGGTCAGAGAAAGACAAGTATCACACAATCTAAGTCATATGTGGAATCTAATGAACAAAATAACTGATGGACAAAATAGATCAAGAGACATGGAAGCTTAGAACAGACTGCAGGAGAAAAAGGGAAGGGATCAACAAAAGACACAGACACATCGATACCGGTTTGGCTCAGTGGATAGAGCAGTGTTTTTCAACCTTTTTTGGGCAAAGGCACACTTGTTTCATGAAAAAAATCACGAGGCACACCACCATTAGAAAATGTTAAAAAATTTAACTCTGTGCCTATATTGACTATATATAAAGTAATTCTCTTGAATAGGAATCAAATAAACACAAAGAAAGTATTTTATAATTACTTTATTATGAAATATTAAGTAAACAAAATAGTGAAAAATTATAAAATTCTTGTCTTGTCTGCACCTACGGCACACCAGGCAACATCTCGCGGCACACTAGTGTGCCGCGGAACAGCGGTTGAAAAACGCTGGGATAGAGCATTGGCCTGCGGACTGAAAGGTCCTGGGTTCGATTCCATCAAGGGCATGTACCTTGGTTGTGGGCACATCCCCAGTAGGGGGTGTGCAGGAGGCAGCTGGCCAATGTTTCTCTCTCATCAATGTTTCTAGCTCTCTATCTCTCTCCCTTCCTCTCGGTAAAAAAATCAATAAAATATATATATAAAAAAAAAAAGAGAGAGAGACACAGACAATAGGGTGGTGAAGGTCTTGGGGGGGGGGCTGCTAGAAGGAGTCAATGGGGGGGGCATATGAAATACTTTCAACAATAAAGATTAAAAAGAAAAGAATCTAACAGGAAAAGAAAATTCAGAAGAGAGGCTGCAGTGGAGGGAACAGTAGGGTAGAGATGAGAGAGCATGAGCACCTGAGACCACAAGCCACAGGATGGATCTGGACTTTCCAGGGCAGGTGAGGTTGTGATGGGGGAGATGTGGAAGCCTCCTGGCGACCTGAATGCAGGTGCCCTGGCCGTCACGTGACCTCTGTGTCCTGCGTTCTGTCCACTCTTGGTCACTGGGGTTTTGCTCTGAGGTGCTAAGATCGAGCCCGTGGCCCAGAAACCTCCTCCTGCTGGACTGAGCTGCAAAGTGACTCTGGGTGCGGGAGGCCGGAGTACCGGTGCCTGAGCGGGAGATGGGGCGGGCACGGGGGTGAGGGGGAGGCGGGAGTGGAAGCTGAGAGTGGGCAGGAGGCCACTGCCTGGAAGGAGGGGGGCATTAGCCCTGGGCAGGGGGCGGGTCAGCACAGGTCCCAGGTGCTCCTTAAAAGGCAATAATATCCTGGTCACAGCCCAGGGCACAGCATCAGGATTGGTACCCCTTTTCTCACCCCACTTTGAATTAACCCCACCCCCGCTGGTGGCCAACGCCTAAGGAAATGAGTCAGTCAGCTCCGCTCCTGTTGCTTCATTTTATATCCAGCGATAGCTTAAGTCGGAGGTCAGATACAGCGCCCCGCTATGCCTTCGCCCCTCCCCTGAAATACGCAGAAGACCCGCGATCAGAAGACCCCTTCGCCCCCTCCCCTGAAGCACGCAGAAGACCCGCGATCAGAAGACCCTCGATCGCTGGGCGGCGGGGACCCGGGCGCCGGCCGACCGCACGTGGCCAGACCGCCGCCCGCCGCCACCGCCGCCCGCCGCCCGCCGCGATGTCCCCGCGCCGGCCCGGGCCCTGGGCGCCCGGCGCCCGGATCCTTGCGCTGGCCCTGCTGTGTCTCCTGCGGCCGGTGAGTGCCCTCACCCTCTCCTGGCGGGTGGGGGCGGGGCCCAAGGAGGCAAAACGGGGTCCGTGGCCCTTGGGGGGCATGCCCGGGCTTGCCCAGGCCGACAACGCCGGGCAGAGTCTGGAGAAGCGGGTGTGGGTGGGGGGCGGCCGAGCGGAGAGGGAGAACCGGCGCTGCTCCGGGTCGCCCGGAAGGATGAGTGATTTCAGGGGGAAATTCAAAAGTTCCCCAAAGTTGGAAACTCCCGGAGTTTTCTTTCCTTTCTTTTTCCTTCTTCTTCTTCGTTTTATTTATTTATTTTTATATTTTATTTATTCATTTTTTTTTTATGTTCACCTTGTAAGACTTAGCTGTGGCCGATCGGTCTCTTCCGAACCGACCTTGTTTGCTCCCCTCCTCCCCCGCACCCGCGCCGCGGGAGGCCGCGGCTGGAAAAACGTCACCCCGGGGCCAAGTCCAGATTCCTTCGGTTAAAAAAAAAAAAAGGCACAAACACCAAACCACTGATTACAGGTATCACAGGAAAGTTTCGATTTTATTTTAAAAAAGTAATCCAAAATCCAGAGAAGCGATATCTATGGTCACAACGTCATTTTCGTTTCCTGGAAATGGTGGGGCTTCACCTGTGTTAGACCAAGTGAAAAAAAAACAACCCACGAACCTTCTGAACGTGCAGGTTTGGGGAATGGGAGACCTCGGCCTCTGGCATCCCCACCTCCTTTTCGGATCCCTCTGGAGTGTTGCGGTTTGCTCCGGAGGACGAGTGCACGCAGCCTTCTCTTACGCCTTCTCACACCAGCATCCTGTTTGATTGTGGGGTAAAGCAGACGTGAGTGGACCAGTGCACTTGGCTGTGGACTCTTACGAATATCTCTCAAAATCTGTTTATGATTTTGCCAATCCCAACAGTGTGGTGGTCTGTTGTCTGGCCCGTATGCCCCCGGGCACCTCGTATGGCAGTGGTTCTCAACCTTCCTAATGTCCCGCCCCTTCTAAGATAGTTCCTCATGTTGTGGTGACCCCCAACCATAACATTACTTTCGTTGTGACTTCATAACTGTAATTTCGCTATTGTTTATGAATCGTAATGTAAATATTTGTGTTTTCCGGTGGTCTCAGGCTTTACAGCAGCGGTTCTAGCAGGGTCGCCTGAGACCATCGGAAAACACAGATATTTACATCACGATTCATTAACAGTAGCGAAATTACGGTTATGACGTCGCAACGAAAATAATGTGATGGTTGGGGTCGCCACAACATGAGGAACTGTATTAAAGGATCACGGCATTGGAAAGGTAGGGAACCACTGTTGCATAGCATAAATCCTTAGAAGTGAACTTGCTTTGTTGGGGGCTTCATTTTATACTTTTGTTTAGGTAATAACAAATTGTTCTCCAGAAGAGTTGATAGATTTTTTCCCTCAAACCAAGAGTCCACAGTTTTTCTGTTTCCCTACAGCTTTGCTACACTGAATTTCAATTCTTTGTAAAAAACGGAATACCATAGTGTTGTGTGTGTGTGTTTTGTCTTTTTTTCTTTCATAATTGAGATGTTTGTTTTAGGATGAGTACACAGACATTTCAATTCCTACACAGTTCTTAGCATACGTCCACAAATGTAACTTCATGTAGTTGTGATTCTTTTCTGAAGTTATTCCAGTGGCTTCTAGCATCAAATGTGGGGCTAATTTTCCTTAGTAGAGTGTCTACCAAGATCTTTAAATGCTGATTCCCTATTAGGTCAGTCCCACTAATTCACAACATAATATCATCTATGCTACATAATCAAATTTTCATTCTTTCACTGCACATAAAGTTACTAGGAAAACTGGAGTAAGTGTGTTGTACTGATTAGGGGCAGGAGCGTCTGAAGCGCAGGGGGGAGCTGTGCTGCAGGGGCCCCAGGAGCAAGTGATGCAGTGGTGGCCCCGCAGCGGCACAAGCCTGGCACGTCCAAATGCTTTCAGCCGTCCCTCTGGGGCAGTGTTTCCCAAACTTTTGACATATTTGTACCCCTTCTATAATTTTCATTGAGTACCCCTCGTACTCATGAGAACATAGAATTAGACGCAGCTAAGCACGGTGCAGTGCATATCCCCACCAAACTCTTCCCATACCCCTGGGAGGACGCGCACCACACTTTGGGAAACACTGTTCTGGGGGGACACCGAGGCCTCAGTCCCTGTCTTGGCCCACACTCCCTTTGCCAGGGCGGGAAGAGAAGCCTGGCAACACCTTCCAGGTAAGGGTGGGGGTGGGGGCGGGCGGCAGGAAAAGGCACTGAGCAGCTTTGGGCAAGCCTGTGTCCTGCACTCAGCTGTGTTCCCACGATTCCCTGTAATTTTTCTAACAGCCTGGGAGACAGGGACGTCTTTCTCTGGTGAACACAGGAAGAAAATGAGTCTGAAGGAAACATTTTTATTATTCTTTCTGGCCTGATTTCCTTTATAAAAGCAGCCACCTTGGACCTTTACTTTTTGGGGGGAATGTCTGCTTTTGTTGTGTTCTGGTCACAGTTAAGAAACTGCTTATTCATAGGATCTGCCGATATTTTGCTTTTACATTTTATGCCTGGGCTACATTTGCCTTATTTGAGAGCTCAGTTCATTAACTACGTTAGACTAGGCCTGTTCTGGGAAAAACAAAATGGCTGCTGGCCAGGTGCACGCACACTGGCCTGTGCCCAGACGGGACAAGGAAGTTAAGGGAAACGAAAGTGAGAGCCATAGAGAGCTCTGTTACTAATCCTAGAGAGCACTGTTACTAACCATAGAGTTTTTCCGGTAGCGATCCCGCCTCCTCTCGCCTCCTCTCGCGATCACTGAAGAGTGCGAGAACTTTCGGAAGCCCTATCTCTTCCCTGGATCTATCTTTAGATCCAGGAAGGAGCTAGGTACCTTCTTTAGGACTGGTTATGTTTTCTTAAGGTTCCAGTCAGATTTTACCAGCTCCCCCGTGTTGATCCAGAACATTCTCTGAAAGCTGATCAGCAGTCAGGTCTTCCAACCTCAGCGGCTTCTTTGCCTCTCTCCTGGGTGTTGCCTCTTCCCCCGGAGAGGAAGTGCGCCAGAGGAGAGGAAGTGCGTGTGTTCCGTCCAGGGTTGGAACAGGCTACAGGTGCAGATTGTAATAAGAATTAAAAATAGCATTAGGACATCGTAATAACCGAGTCTATATGAACTTAAACTAGGAGCTCAAACCTGTAGGTAAATGAAACAAAGACCATTATTATCTTGGATTGATCAAAGTTTTTTTAAAATTGATTTTTAGAGAGAAAGGAAGAGAGCAAGAGAGAAACATTGATCTGGAAGAAAAACACTGATTCCTTGCCTCCCATTCACGTCCGACTGGGGATCAAACCCACCAGCTTTTGGTATAAAGGACACTGCCTCCTGCACCCTCCACACCAGGGATTGGGGATCAAGCCCACAACCCAGGCATGTGCCTTGACCTCTGGTTCATAGGTCAACGCTCAACCACTGAGCTATGAACCAATTCTTAACCTCCCCCCCCCCTCCTTTCCACAATAGCTTAGGAAATGTAAACAAGGGCAAATCCCTTTTAAGAAAAAGAGAAACATTTAGATTCAGTCATTCTGATAATATGTTTCCTTCGGAAATCACCTACATTAGTTTTTGACAGCAGTTTCAGATCATCAGCTCAGTTTCAGATCAGACTGAAGAACATTCCAGTGGGTCGGTGCCTTTTTTAGGTCTGACTCATATCCAGCCTACCTCCCGGAGTTTAGCAGCACCCAGCTTAGTCAGCAGTACTTCGCAAGGGCCCTTTCAACAAGGCTGGAGGGAATCTATTTTGAGGTGTTTCTTTCAGTAAAAAACAAACTCCAGGTTGTTGAGTGTGGATTTTTGAGTTTTTCATTTCCTTGGAGGGTACTGTGAAAAGATTGCCCTCCAAGGAAATGATTATTTTCAACAGAAGCAATTAAGCCTTTACTACATTGGAATATATTTCCTTTGTATTAAAATATGTTTCCTTTATATTGATATATTTCCTTTACCATCTGTGGCTCCAAAGAAGCAGGAGCCAAACGCATCAGGTGTCCTGTAATTATCTCTAAAAGAGAAAGATTCTGTATCCCAAAAGGGCTATACCCGAGATTTAAAATGGCTAGTGGCAATGCTTTTGGCTAAGGTATTTGAAGAGTTTCTACAAGTTCTGCCAAATGAATCTTTTTTTTTTTTTTTAATGGGGATGGAGCCTACAATCTGGGCATGTACCCGATCTCGAATTGAACCCATGATCTCTCAGTGTATGGGACGACACTCAACCAACTGAGCCACACCTTCAGGGCTACCAGTTGGATCCTAATCATGCCGTTAGTGCGTTTGACTAACCCTGAGAATTGAGGATGGGAAGCCCAGTGAAAATGCTGTGGAACCAGCCGAAGAGCACAGACTTGTTGTAGCACTTGACCAATAAAATGGGTTCTTGGATCCCTGAAGTTCAAGAGGAGTCCTCCAAGTAGGAATAGTCTTCTCTAACAGGACTTTAGCCACGGCAAAGGCATTTGCTTGTCTGCCAGGGCAAGCTTCAGTCCGGTGAGAAAACATACAAATCATCACTAAAACCCACGAGATGGGGAAGCTGTATGAAATCTATTTGCCAAACCTCAAAAGGTCCATTCGGCCATCTCAATAGACTTCCCTGGGCTGTGCTTTGACCCTGAAGGTGAAGGCACTTTTTGCGGCCTTGTTAATATTTCCCCACCAATATTTGTTCACGAATGCTATCATTTTGTCATGGACCCATGGTTGAATGCGTGTAGAGTAGTCAGGAGCAGACATTTTAGAGTTCCTGGTAGGACTGGGTTGTTATTTAGTGCGAACCAGAGCTCTCTTACTAAACCAGCAATTGTTTGATTGGAAATCATGTTTTACCTTTTTTTTTTTTTTTTTTTTTAATATATTTTATTGATTTTTTACAGAGAGGAAGAGAGAAGGATAGAGAGTTAGAAACATCGATGAGAGAGAATCATTGATCAGCTGCCTCTTGCACAACCCCCCTGGGGACGTGCCTGCAATCAAGGTACATGCCCTTGACCGGAATTGAACCTGGGACCCTTCAGGCCAAAGGCTGCCGTTGCTCTATCCACTGAGCCAAACTGGTTTTGGCTGTTTTACCTTTTTTTGAAGCCAATTGTTGGGATTCTCTGGCCAGTTTTTCTAAGTTTTCAACTGGGGAAACATCTCTGAGGTTTGACTGCTGCTGACACCTTTAAGGGCGGCATTCTTAGCAGAAATGTCAGCAAGGTGGTTTCGTTTAGCTTTAGCTTCCCCAACGTCAAGTTTAGAATGCCGTAGACTCTTAATCACCTGGTTTCCCTGAGCCACTGGGACCATACTACAGTCACTGCTAACTATATAGCATCTTAGGGGTCTATGGTGACCCCGTGTCTTTGAGTGAGTAACCCAAGGGCATCCCCATCCTTCTCATGCACAAAACTGAAAGGGGGCCCTGGCAGAGTAGCTTAGTTGGTTGGAGCATCATCCCACGCACTAAAAAAAAAGTTATGGGTTCGATTCCTGGTTAGGGCACATATCTGGGTTGTAGGTTCGATCCCCAATTAGTGCACGTACGGGAGGCAACTGATTGATGTTTTCCTCTCACATGGATGCCTCTCTCTCTCTCTCTCTCCCTCTCTCTCTCTCTCTCTCTCTCCCTCACTCCCTCCCTCCCTCCCTCCCTTCCTCCCTTCCTTTCTCCTTCCCTCCCTAAAAATTAATAAAAATGTATTCTTGGATGAGGATTTAAAAAAATGAAAAAGGGAATCTGATAGTTAGGATGCCCAAGGGCAAGACCCACTAGGCTGCCAGAAAGTAAATGTGTCCTGACTTCCTGCCAGTGCTCACCAGGAAATAAAAGATATAGTGACTGTGTGAGTCAGTGTGGGGCTTACTGTAAGTTGTCACAGGTTTGTGGGAGGCGCACCCCTCACCAGAGCGTGAACACCCAATCATCACGCTTATCAACTACAAAAGGATCAACAACGGGGAGCCACTTAAGAGACCTAAACAAAAAGGAATAGGTTCGGAGATATGAGCCTGTTGAGTTTATTTGAAATCTCCACTGTTTGAACTGTTTTATTACTTCAAGGCAGGCCTGTTTTATGACAGTGGGTTGAGCAACAAGTGCAGCACCGATGCCAATTTGAAGAGAAATTTCTCCAAGCTGATGAGGAGGAAGGATTGGGAAAGTCCCTGTCATACCTCAGAGCACCATCACTGGCAGAATCATGAAAAGGCTGGCTGGCTGTGTTACCGCATTAAAGGGGTCTATTTGCCAGCATGCATCAAAGCCCAATAAGACGCAAACAAGTGGTTACCAACGTGGGGCACATGCCCCCCAGGGGGCAATCTGATTTTTTAAGGGAGGCAATACAGGAATGAGTTAATAACTGATTTATTATTATTTTTTTTACATTTCTTGTGGTTCTAGGGGCCTCATATACAGTATGTAAATATACAGTATAGTGACATTTAGGCATTTCAGTTCCCTATTATATATTTGCTATTTTTTCATATCCCTTCATATTATTATTATTTTAAAACGGTTTCTTAGTGGTTTCTTTCTCAGTACTTCAACTGTCCTTTCATCCTTTTATTTTTCTCTTTCATGGATGCCATGTCCTTTGGAAGCTTGTTTAGACCAAGTTAATGGCCTTCTAGGCTTCCTCCACGTGAATAGGAGTTCACTTTTGAATAATGAGTATTATATGTTACAGGGGGGCATCAGGATTTTAGAGATGCTTAGGTGGGGCATGGACAAAAAAAAAAAATGGTTGGGAACCATTGGTTTACAGCAAAGAAAGCAAAGATTTATTTTCAAGACGTGACCCTCACCTGGAGACACATGCGCTAATGTTCAAAGACCTGGCTCTCCAATGGCTTCCAGGGGATGGGTTGTATAGGGGGGAAATCATCAGTCATGTGACCAAGGGAGTTGGGGTCATGGTGTCTACTACTTGATTGGTGCAGGGGAGGCGGTTGTTGATCAGTGCATCTGGTGCTGATGTCAGCATGACGTTGCTTCTTCCGGTTTTGCTGCTTCTTCTGGTTTTGTGAAACACAGCCAGGCCCAGTTGAGATGAAACACAACTGAGGCCTAGATGTTATCTCTAGTTTGAAGGAAACTCTGTCTCTGGGGTGCACAGACCCAAGGCTTTGTTCCTAAGATTATTTCATGTTGATCAAAACTTCATTGTCCTGAGAACTTAATGATTTAGGGAGTAGACATGCAAGGGAGAAGGAAGCAGGTGATTTAGGATGCTGGATGAGTCAAAAGGAAGAAGAGAAGGAGGAGAGAGCAGGGGGAGTGGGGAGAGAAACATCGATTGGAGAGAGAGACACACATATTGACTGGTTGCATTCTGACCAGGGCATGGGATTAAGCCTGCAACTGAGGTGTGTGCCCTTGACCAAGAATTGAACCCATGCCGAAACCAGCTTTGCTCAGTGGATAGAGCATTGGTCTGCGGACTGAAAAGTCCCAGGTTCGATTCCGGTCCAAGGACATGTACATTGGTTGCAGGCACATCCCTGGTAGGGGGTGTGCAGGAGGCAGCTGGTCTGTTTCTCTCATCGATGTTTCTGGCTTTCTATCCCTCTCCCTTCCTCTCCGTAAAAAAATCAATAAAATTATTGATGCTTCAGTCCCTGAGCCGATGCTATAACCACTTAGTAAACTGGCCAGGGCAAACCAACACTTTTAAAGATAATTGTTTTCCCAAGGGAATGTTGATTAAATATGTGAGCCCGGACAGACATGGCCTGAGCAGCATTGAGCATGTGTGATTAGGCTGCATTGTTACGCCCAGATTTTGTGATACCCACAGACCACCAGGGTGCCGAGTTCAATGCAATTGCAGAAAGCCTGAATTCCATGCTAGCATGGACTCTGTCCCACTCACCCCGACAGTGTGGCAGAAGAGAGGATAAGCTTCCAAAGGTCAAGGGGTTTTATAGGGTAGTGATGTCACTGCTTTGGCTGATCCTGATTGGTTGGGTGAGGGCTAGAATCCAGTTACACAAAATGGAGGATAGCTCAGCCCTGCCCCACAGCACAAAATGGAGTCAGGAGTTAGCCCTGCCCCGCCCTGCCCTCTCAGCATCAAAAAAGGAAAGTGTGGATTGCATTAGGTTGCATCAGCCTGAAAGAGAAAACTGTGGCTCTGCCGGTCACAATAGCACTGGCAGATGATTAGATGGGTGTGGTGGTAAGAGGAAGCACGCGAAGTCTAGTTTTCCTGACTGAGAGTTGGTAGCGTCATTAAACAAAATCAAAGAGGAAATGCGGAGAGGAAATAAATAAGACTCCATCCTCCCTAACCAAAGGTATTTAAAAGCACAGTTTACATCTGTCCTCAACAAACAGAGCCAGTAGCTTAAATTACCTTGGTCAGGGAGTTAGATAACAGGGACCCAATTTGGTGCTATTAGTGCCAGGCAAACCCAAGAAAGGACAAAGTCGCCCTAGCTGGTTTGGCTCAATGGATAGAGTGTTGGCTTGGAGACTTAAGAGTCCTGAATTCAATTCCAGTCCAAGGTACATGGCCAGGTTGTGGGCTTAATCCCTAGTAGGGGGCGTGCAGGAGGCAGCCAGTTGATGATTCTCTATCATCATTGATGTTTCTGTCTCTCTCTCTTCTTCTCCCTTTCTCTCTGGAATTAACAAAATACATTTAAAGAAAGGGGGGCGGGGGGAGCCAATGTTAAAATATGTACACAGATAATCATTAAAAAAAAAAAATAGCCGAAACTGGTTTGGCTCAATGGATAGAGCATCGGCTTGGGGACTGAAGGGACCCGGGTTCGATTCCAGTCAAGGGCATGTACCTTGGTTGTGGGCATATCCCCCCCCGATAGGGGATGTGCAAGAGGCAGCTGATTGATGACTTTCTCTCATCGATGTTTCTAGCTATCTATCTCCCTTCCTCTCTGTACAAAATCAATAAAATATATTTTTTTAAAAAATATATATATAGGCAAAGTTTAACAAAACTACCTGTTCATCATATTGTTATAAGAGTAAAAAACTGGATAATCTGGAAATGAAATAACTGGGAAATGATTGTAAAAATTATGAGCTATATGACAAAGTACTATGTTTCTATTTAAAATGGTGTTTATAAAGTTTTTTTTTTTTTTTTTAACAATTTAGGAAAATGTTTATGATGTCATCTTAGGAATACAATGACCAATTAAATATTCACCTACAAAAAAAAAAAAAAAAAAAAAAAAAGAATGGACAGTCAGGGAAATAAATAATAAAGAAAAATCCAAGGTAGAGGTGAAGCTGACCAAAAAATGATCCCAAACCCCACTATAAACTCATTTTGATTTATCAACATACTAGAGGACTGGTGCATGAATTGATGCACCAGTGGGGTCCCTTGGCCTGGCCTTCGGGGATCGGACTGAAACCAGTTCTCTGACATCGCCTGAGCAGTCCCAGATTGTGAGAGGGTGCAGGCCAGGCCATGGGACCCTACTGGTGTGTGATCAAAGCCAGGGAGGGACCATGGGAGGGCTCCAGGGCATGTCCAGCCCTTCTTGGTTAGTCCGGATCTGCCAGACCCCAGCAGCAAGCTAACCTACTGGTCAGAGCATCTGCCCCCTGGTGGTCAATGCATGTCATAGCAACTGGTCAACTGGGAGACTGTCTGCCCCCTGGTGGTCAGTGCATGTCATAGCAAGCAATTGAATAACCTTAGCATATCATTAGCATATTATGCCTTGATTGGTTGAATGGGTGACTGGACACTTAGCATTTTAAGCTTTTATTAAGCTAATGAATATTCTGATTGAGACCCACAATTTCCACCTTTAGAAAACAAATAAAAACCCTTAGGACAGAGGCCCCAGTGTGCGCTCTCCCGTGAGCACCCTCCCTTTCCTTGATAACCTACTTTTACTTTCTCATAAGCTCTGAGGACCCTCCTCTTGTCTCACGTTTCTAAAGAGACAAAGCAGCTCCACCGAGGCTCAATCCTATTCCTGTGATTTTGCTTCTTGTATCCTAAACACTTCTTTTGTCTTACTGTCCCAAGCTTTAATAAACATACTCTCAAAATCACCCCAATTCATGTCTTGAATTTTTTCTTGCACAAAGTCAAGAACCCACACATTCCAAGATGTGTGGTCCCTGCCTGATCCCTTTCCAGGAACAAGTAGACCTAGACTATACAAAATGCTAAATAAAGATTTCAAAATGAAGACCATAGAAGCATGAATCTTAAGAAAAAAGAAATATCATTGGAAATATAAAAAAGATGTGGCTAATGTAAAGGATTGTTATTTCCCCTTAATTTTCTGAAATTGTACACTATCAAAAATTATACATCATTTGGGAGGTTTATAAACTACTAGAGGCCCGGTGCATGAAATTCGTGCAGGGGTAGGTGTTGTCCCTCAGCCCAGCCTGCACCCTTTTCAATTTGGGACCCCTTGAGGGATGTCCAACTGCCTGTTTAGGCCCGATCCCAGTAGGATCAGGCCTAAACAGGCAGTTGGACATCCCTCTAACAACTGCTAGCTCCCAACTGCTCACCTGCCTGTCTTCCTGATTGTCCCTAACCGCTTCTGCCTGCCAGCCTAATCACCCCCTAACCACTCCCCTGCCAGCCTGATTGATGCCCAACCAAATGAGCCACACCAGCTAGGGCTTAAACATTATTTAAAAAGAATTATTTTTCTTTTTAATTGATTTGAGGGAGAGAGAGAGAGAGAGAGAGATTTGTTGCCTCAACCATTCATGTATTCGTTGGTTGATTTTTGTATGTTTCTCTTGTATGTGATTCTCTCTCATTACTGATGTTTCTCTCTCTCTCTCCCTCTCCCTTCTTCTTTGAAATCAACAAAGAAAAACACGCTTCTCCAGCTATCTTTTAAAATATATATATATATTTTATTGGTTTTTTACAGAGAGGAAGGGAGAGGGATAGAGAGCTAGAAACATCAATGTGAGAGAAACATCAATCAGCTGCCTCTTGTGGGGATGTGCCCGCAACCAAGGTACATGCCCTTGACGGGAATCGAACCTGGGACCTTTCAGTCTGTAGGCCAACGCTCTATCCATTGAACCAAACCAGTTTCGGCTTCTCCAGCTATCTTAACAGGACAAAGAATATTGCCAGATATAGAGACTTTTTGTAGTGTTAAAGGATTAATTTATTAAGAAGTCAGAATAATTATCAATGTGTATATACCTAATAATAGAACTTCAAAATACATGAAGCAAAAATCTACAGGATTTAATGGAAATTATAACAAACCTTCCTCGGTAGTTGATAAAAATGTTTAGATGAATACAGCAACTCAGTAGAGGTATAACCTGAACACTATGAACCACTTTGATTTAATTGTCATTCATAGAAAAGGCTCAACATCTACTGAAGCTCAGTCCATATTGGAAAAATTATGATCACCTCTTGGGATGGTGTGGCAGATTAGGATTGCCTAGGAAAAGGCCCAAGGGGATGTTCTGTGGGCCTGCTGTGTTCTATGACCTAGACCAGCGGTTTTTGGAGACCTGTGGGTCGCGACCCCTTTGGGAGTCCAATGACCCTTTCACAGGGGTCGCCTAAGACCATCTGTAAACAGGTATTTATATTACGATTCATTAACAGTAGCAAAATTACAGTTACGAAGTAGCAACGAAAATAATTTTATGGTTGGGGGTCACCACAAGATGAGGAACTGTATTAAAGGGTCGCGGCATTAGGAAAGTTGAGAACCACTGATCTAGACAGAGGATTTGGGTTACATACCTGTATTAATTAATAAATTCATTGAATTATACACTTAAGAAATACGCATTTCATTGTGGGTGTTCATTGTACATGTCTGTAAATTTTACTGAGTGTGTAAACATTTTCTAATAAAATGATGAGGGGAAGAATTGATGAGAACAGAGCCAGTAAAAACAGGAAGACATACCACTGAGAGCAGAGAAAGGAGCCCGCACCAGGGAATGCGGGGCCTGGGAAAAGAAGGGCTGAGGGACGCAGGTGAGCTTACCTGTCATCAAACATGAGACCAGCCAGTTTGGCTCAGACCAGTCTGGCTCAGTGGACAGAGCGTCGGACTGCAGACTGAGGGGTCCCAGGTTCGATTCTGGTCAAAGGCATGTATAATACATTGGTTGCGGGCACATCCCTGGTGGAGGGTGTGCAGGAGACAGCTGGTCAATGTTTCTCTCTCATCGATGTTTCTAGCTCTCTGTCCTTCTCCCTTCCTCTCTGTAAAAAATCAATAAAATATATTAAACACACACACACACACACACACACACACACACACAAAAAAAAAACCACACAAAAAAACACAACACGAGACCGACTTTTCTGCGAAGAAGGCTGCGTTTTATCTCGTTTAGATACAGTCAACAATAGTTTTTATTCTGACTTTCTTTTCCTAACTTTATATTCTAAAAGACTCAAAATTACGGAAAAGTTGCAAAAACTATACAAAAATCTCCCTGAATCATCTGAAAACCAGTTGCTAACTGTATGTTCTCTACAAACAAGAACACGCTCCCCCATAAACACAATCCTCAAGTCAGAACATTAACACCAATAATTTACTGCTCATTTGCAAATTCCATTCAAATCCCTTCAATTCTTGTGTCATTTATAGCTCAAATTGTGATGCAACTCACTACATTGTCACTTTTCTAAGACTTTGGTATTTAATGGGACTCTGAGGGTTCCTTTAAGGACAGTTTGTAAGGCCCATTTTTTTTCAATTGTAGTAAAATAACATAACACATAAAATGTACCATCTTAATTATTTTTATCACATAGTTAAGTAGTGTTAACATTGCTGTGAAACCAATCTCGAGAACTACTTCCATTTTGCAAAACTGAAACTCCATTAAACAACTTCCAATTCCCTCCTCTCAACCCAGCCTCTGGCAACCACCATTCTTTTGTGTTTATATAGCCTGAAATGGAATTGCTGAGTCATATGGTAATCTTATTTTTAATTTTTTGAGAAACCACCCTGCTGTTTTCCATAGGAGTTTCATCCTTTTACATTTCCATCAAGAGTGCACAGGTCTTCTAGTTTCTCCTTGCCAACTCTTAGTTTCTTGCCTTTTCTTTTCTTTTTTAATAGTTGGCACCCTAATAAGTGTGAGGTGGTATCTCACTGTGGTTTTAATTACATTGGAGGTCTTTGTAGATCTTGTTATTGATTTCCAATGCATTACCACTGAGATCAGAGAATATACATGATATACTTTAACTCTTTTTACGTTTATTTGGAATCAAAAAGTACCACGTTCACCAGAAAAGGATGTGTCTTCTGTAGACGTTGCACATCTGTTATGTGAATGTCAGTCCAGACAAGATGACTGACAGTGTTCAAATCTCTTAGGATTTTACTATTTTTATCAGGTCATTCCATTGATTGTTGAAAAAAGGGTGTTATACATTCATTTTAACTCCATTTTTGCTTCATGTGTTTTGAAGCTTTTTTGTGGGCACGTATACATTTATAATTATTATGATTCTCTGATGCATTAAACCTTTCACACAGAAAAAGATCCTTCTTAAACCAACTTCATGTGACATTAAAATAGCATAGCAGTTTTCTTAGGCTTACTATTTGTATGATATATATCCTTTTTCCATCCCTTTGCGTTCAGTATATCTGTGTCTTTCTTTCTTTCGTTCTTTCTTTCTTTCTTTCTTTCTTTCTTTCTTTCTTTCTTTCTTTCTTTCTTTCCTTCCTTCCTTCCTTCCTTCCTTCCTTCCTTCCTTCCTTCCTTCCTTCCTTTCTTTCTTTCTTTCTTTCTTTCTTTCTTTCTTTCTTTCTTTCTTTCTTTCTTTCTTTCTTTCTTTCTTTCTTTTAAATATATTTTTTATTGATTTTTTACAGAGAGGAAGGGAGAGAGATAGAGAGCCAAAAACGTCGATGAGAGAGAAACATCAACCAGCCGCCTCCTGCACATCCCCTACCGGGGATGTGCCCACAGCCAACGTACATGCCCTTGACCGGAATCGAACCCGGGACCTTTCAGTCCGCAGACCGACGCTCTACCACTGAGCCAAACCGGTTTCAGCTGTGTCTTGCTTTCTTAAATGGCATCTCTAATAGACAGTATGTAATTGGGTCTGTTCTTCATCCATTTGAACCATTTCTATCATTGAATTGAAGTGTTTTGAGGATTTACTGGTGTGGTTGCCATGGTGCTTACCACTTATGATTAATGTTGTTTGCACATGTGGAATAAATATATTTTGTTCTAGTATAAGATAAAACAATACTGGAAACTTCTTCAGGAATGAGTTACTTGCTAGTCCCAAGGGCTAAGGGACAAACATGACACAGAAGAAGGAGAGTACCATGGGAGAGCTGGAAGAAAGGTCCAGTTCTTTCTGCTTTAGGTAGTTGGGGTGACGAGAATGTGAGAGGGGTCCTGGGCTGGAGGAGAGTCAGGAAGCCACTGACGCCTATCCCTGCTTTGTCCCCAACAGGTTCCAGTTGCCTCACCCACACTAACAAAGCTGGACAGAGTTCGCCAGCAACCAGCTGCCAGCCTCACAGGGAAGTGTCCACCAGGTACATTCTAACACTGAACTCCAGCCCTTACCCGACTTGTCTCCAGGTGTGCCCAGCCCTCTGATTTCCGAAGTTCCTGGTTCCTTATCTATGGGTATTTATTTATTAGATGGTTCCTGTGTGCCTTGCTCTGTACTGCTGGAGGGCAGGAGGCCCATGCCCTCCGGAGCTGTTCTTCTGAGATGGTATCAGACAGACAATTGAAGGTGACAGAGAGACAGATAGGAACCATGAGGATAATTGAGTGATGGGTGGGACAGAGACTGAGTTGGTGAGGCGTCTGAGGATGTGACCTTGATGCAGAGAGCCATGCACAGTGGTCCTGAGAGGGCACCCCAGCAGCTATGGTCCCAGGGGCGGGGGAGAGCTTGTTTGTGTAAAGCTGAAGGCCAGCCTGGGTGAGTGTGGGGTGAGTTTAAGGTAAAGAGGTCACAAGGGCAGATGAGAGCAGACACTGGACACTACTGAACACTGGAGAGAGCATGTTTCACTTTTTGAGTGAGGTATTCAAGAAAGTAAAGTATCTCAATATTTTGTATTGATTAAATGTTGAATTGATACTATGTTGAATGTTAGGTTAAAAAATGCATAATTAAAATGAATTGGACCCCTCCCCCCCTTTTTTTAAAATTAAATTTATCGAGGTGACATTGGTTAATATGATCATACAGGTTTCAGGTGTGAGTTTCTATGTTACAAGATCCGTATATTGCACTATGTGCCCACCACCCAAAGTCAAATCTTCTCCCTTCACCATATATCAGGACCCCTTTCATCCCCACTCCCCTTTCCCTCTGGAAACTACCACACTGCTCTTTGTGTTCACGTGTTTCAATTTTATATTTTACGTATGAGTGAAATCATATGGTTTTTAGCTTTTTCTGACTGACTAGCAGTCCTGGATTGTGAGAGGGATGTCCCACTGTCCATTTAGGCCCAATCTCAGTAGGATCGGGCCTAAACGGGCAGTTGGACATCCCCCAAGAGGTCCCAGATTGGAGAGAATGCAGGCTGGTCTGAAGAACACCCCCTTTGTGCATAAATTTTGTGCACCAGGTCTCGTGTGTGTGTGTGTGTGTGTGTGTGTGTGTGTGTGTGTGTGTGTATTAGAGGCCGTGTGCATGAATTCATGCATGGGTGGGGTCCAGCGAGCCTGGCCAGGGGGAGGGACCATGGGCGGTTGGCTGGCCTGCCTGCTGGTCAAACTCCTAGGTGAGGGACAATTTGCATATTAGCCTTTTATTATATAGGATATACACTGAGTGGCCAGATTATTTTGCATTCAGAAATCATAATGCCACTCAATGTATATATTTTTAACCTAAAATATCCATGTTAGGAATCGAGTCTAGTGAGGCATGTACCCTCACAAGGAATGGAACCGTGACCTCCTGGTTCATAGCTCAATGCTCAAACACTGAGCCATGTCGACCAGGCTCTTTTTACTCTTTTAACACGGCAACCATGAATTTGAATTTCATGTGGGGCTTGTAATACATTCCTGTTGGCAGTGCTGGTCTAAGATGTGAGTGGATTTTCCTGTTTGGATTCCACTGATGGCGGAAAGAGGCATCCCTTAGCCACCTCTGCCGGCCCCCAGGAGCCCTGTGGTCATTAACTCACCAGATTCTCTCTCTGTTCCCAGGATCCTATCTCTCTGAATATACTGGAGCTTGTATAGAATGCACTGAAGGAGAGGATTTCACCAGTCATCACAACAGCTTCTACTCTTGCCGACCCTGCTCTCATTGCCCTCCAGGTAGAGATGTGGACCTCATGCCTACCGTTAGCGCGCCGGGCAAAGAGATGATAATTGCATGGAACAGGGGATCATAAACCTAATTGCCAGCCCACCGTGACCTTCATCATATCCCGTTTCATGATATGACTTAGGCCAATAAAATAAAATGAAGACAAAATTATTTTTATAATGCATGCCACCCAGGAGGGGCATCTTTTAAACCATCAGATGAAAGTGGTGGGAAAATAACCTGCCACTCAAAGGGAGGACTCTGGCCACACCCTGAAAGGGGTGGCTGAGTGGAAAAGCACCGGTTTGGAGCCGAGATAAGGGACTTGTCCTGGCCAGACCCCTCTGCGCCCTGTGCGCCCTGGCAGGCGCTCCGTCTTCCTCAGCCACCGCGGCCTAAGGCCCCTCTGCAGGGTTAAGTCTGCGGAAGTCACCCAAGGGTTCCTCCGCACCCAGGGTTTCTCAGGTTACACACGACGCTTCTTCTTTTTTTTCCTTTCTTTTTTTTTTTTTTTTTTTTTAATATATTTTATTGATTTTTTTACAGAGAGGAAGAGAGGGATAGAGAGTTAGAAACATCAATGAGAGAGAACCATCAATCAACTGCCTCCTGCACAGCCCCCACTGGGGATGTGCCCGCAACCAAGGTATATGCCCTTGACTGGAATCGAACCCTGGACCCTTCAGTTCGCAGGCCTACGCTCTATCCACTGAGCCAAACCGGTTTCGGCCACCCGACCCTTCTTAATCACCCTGTGAGCCAAAAGATATTTCCTCCCAATCCTGATATATTAATAGTAAGTAAAGAATCATGGTCATCATGGTCATCATTTTATGCACGCGGCTGTGGCGGGCAGGTGACCAGTGGCGGTCCTTTTTGCACCTCACAGATATTGCTGCAGAAACTAACCCTCAAATCTATGGCCCACTGAGTGAAGCCGAGTGTGTGTGTGTGTGTGTGTGTGTGTGTGTGTGTTGGGGGGTTGGGGGGTGAAAAATGGTTTGAGGACACGTGACGGAAACATAACCCCCAAATCTTACCCTTTATTTCAGATAAAGTAGAAACAGCTCCGTGTACCAGGACCAAGGACACCCAGTGTCAGTGCAAGAATGGCACTTACGAGGATAAGGATTCTCCTGAGTTCTGCCTACCGTGCAGCCATCGGTAAGACATGGAGGCCTGCCTTGGCCATCTGCGTGGCTTCACGCCCCTCCCCCCCCTTCCCATCCCTCCTTTCCACTGGGCACAGGAGGCCGCTAATCAGGCCTATGAGCCTGTCAGTGGCCCATGCAAAGCTATAGATTTTCTTACTACCAGAAGGAAGGAATTGTGTACCCTGCAGACATACTTGCCATCATCTTTATAGAAATTCAATCACAAAAAGTTTTTGCTTTTTTTAAATTTTTTTGTTGTGTTTGTTTTTTGGTGCCGGCATGAGCCCATGAACACATACGCGTCCACAGCCAAGTCATAATGAACCGAGCCTATAGCTCCTTCAGGGGTGCCAGCTCCACCACCTTCTCCCAGGGCCCTGTTTTCCCTGTTATTGGGATTTAGGGGCCAATAGTAATGTGCTCTTTTACAGTGTGGCTGTGCTTGGTGGGGACAGTCAACAGGTGGAGGACAAGAGGGTCCTTGTATTGAGGGTTGACTAGAGAATGAGGCTCAGCTTGTGGCTGGAGTGAGCTGCTGCCTCACTCGTGCTCCCCCTGCAGGTCAGGGGAGCTCAGTGTAGGCCTTGTAGAGAAGGTCCAGCTCCTGTGGGCTCAGCTCTGAACACTTAACTGGAGCCCTTGAGGGCAGAAGGTGGCATCAGGTCCCTCCTGAACCTGGCAAAGGGGTGAGAGGGCCCATCGGGCAGACAGGAGAAGGCTGTTCTTTTTCCACTCTCTCTCCCGTCAGGGGACACTGGGTGCGGGGTTGCTCCTTCTTTCTCTTCCTCTTACCGCGCAGAACCCCTTCATATCCTCCTTGTGTTTGAACCCAGGTGCCCTGATGGCAAGGTCAAGGCCAAGGCCTGTGGCCCCTGGAACGACCTTGAGTGTGTGGACCAACGATCAGGTACCCAGGCCTATGGGGAGGCCCCAGTTCCTGGAGAGCCAGTGACCAGCAGCCTGGAGGCACCCACTGCTCCCTCTCTCTCCTCAGGCATACCATGGTGGATAATCTTTCTTATCTGCATCTCGGTGCTTATAGTCCTGGCGCTGATTGGACTATATTGTTGCAAGAGATATAACCTAGGTGAGGTTGGTGGGAGCGATGGGCGGTGCTGGCACTCTCTGCTGTTCCCTCACTTCCTGCCCCTCCGCCTTCCAAACCTCTGGGTCTTTCTGGCCTGGCTGTGATCTTGTTCGCAGGGATCACCCCTCTACCTCCCACCTCTGGAGGACTGAGATCATATCAGTCCCCCTCTCTTGGGGCTGATGATCACCTCCTCTCCCTACCAAGTCTGGGAGGGCAGGCCAGGTCTTCACGTCCACAGGGCCCCCAGCCGAGGCAGAGGGGTGGTCAGAGCCTCCACTGGGTGAGAAGAGTCAGGAGGAGAAGGTCAGGGGTGGGCTGTGGTACAGCTTTGGTCAGAGAGAACCCAACAGAGGTTTGCTATGTGCTTACTTTTACTTCTTTCCCTCATTTCTTCCCCTTCCTGAGGTTGTCCCAGAGTTGGATTGCCCTTCCCTGTCACCAGACCCAAGGCACCTTGTCAGTGTCTGAGCCCCAGCCCATGCCCTTCCCAGCAGGGCGACCCTGCAGAGAGGGTCTGCCCACGCTAAGACAGATACTCTTCTCTTCTAGGTTCCGGAGTGGCCACCAAGATCACGCGCAGAGTGAGTGGGTTTCTCCAGGCCCCGAGGAACTGCTTCCTGCCCAGAATAGGGCCTGGGTGGGCGTGGCCCAGTTTGTCCCGTGCTGCTATCCCCGCTCTCTAAACTTTAGAGTCTAAAGCAACCCTGTCTTTCTCGCTGCTCTTGACGCCCAGACCCACAGCCCTGCACTCTGGGCTGTGGGGGTGTCAGGCAGGTGTGCTGAACCCTCTTAGCACAGCACCAGGGTCCTGGTGCTAACAACAAAGTCCTGGAGGTGCTGAGCCTCTGCCAACCTGAGGGGAGGGGAACATAGGAGGGGATGGGCAGCAGAAGCTACGTGTCCCCTGAGACCCTTCATGGAGCCTGGGGGCGGACTCCTGAGTCAGCTCTTTCCTTCCCAAGGGCTGGTTTTGGCGCTCACAAACCACAGGAGATACTGAGGCTCTGGACAATGCCCACAACCAGGCCATAAACAACAGAGATTCGCTGTCCTCTGAGCAGGAACAGGAAGAGCTGGTACAGCCCACAGAAGAAGCACAGCATCTACTGGTGAGTGGGGGCGGCCATTCCAGGCCCTGGCCTTTGTGCTGGCCCAGGACTGTGTTAGAAACAGGGAAAGGCCAGTGCTGGTCAGGACTGCTGTCCTGGGGAAGGATGGTTCAGGACTGCACTGCAGGGAGCTGTTAGCTCTGTGGAATGGCTGGGTGTTCTTATCTGTCCAGATGTTACAATATCCCAGAGTCCGGAACAGGCAGGCACAGGATGACTGACTGAATGAGGGCTGCAGATAGTCCTCTGTGTCGTTGTAAAATAACTTAGTAAGCTTTTCCTTGTAACAATAGGAATATTAGACTTATTACAAAATTTTTATTACATTGAACCTATCTCTATATATAAAAGCCTAAGCGACCAGTCGCTATGATGTGCCCTGACCACGAGGAGGCAGACACTCAGTGCACAGGAAAGGCTCCCTCATGTCTGGATGGGGCTGAAAACAGCTCTCTGACATCCCCCGAGGGGTCATGGATTTTGAGAGGGTGCAGGCCAGGCCAAGGGACCCCACCGGTGCACGAATCCATGCACTGGGCCTCTAGTATGAGAATAAATCTTAGTCAAGATATCTAATCCTATTTGTATGGTGGCATTTAGAAATAGAATTTCTGGGCCCACACACGTGCATACAGTTTGGGTTCAAATCAGTTCATGAGTTTTAATATGACATTGAGTGGTAAACCTGTAGAAATAATTAATTTTTATTCCTCAGAAGCTTAGGAAGTCATTCCCCTTAACATAAGATGAAATTCACTAATTTTTTAGAGTTTTAAAATTTATGATCATTTTTAGCATATAGCATTGTTATCTAAATGGAATTGGTCTTGTGACCTGCTGTGACAGGCAGAGTGTGAATTGTTCTGAGTCATTCATTGTCTCTTTCCTCCAACCCCATTGCAGCAGATTCTCTCATTTCCCTTGGCTTTTGGTTCCTCCTTTATCAGATGTGAAATGTTTACAAAGACTTTCCTGTTTCCTTTGTTTCTTTCCTCCAATTACAGTATGCTCTTTTTAACATTTTTAAAAAAATTGATTTTAGAGAGAGGAAGGGAGAGGGATAGAGAGACATAAACATCAATGATGAGAGAAACATTGATAGGTTGCCTCTTGGGATCAAGGTCACAACCCCAGACATGTGAATTTTACATCATAAGATCTCTTGTTCATGGATCAACACTCAACCACTGAGTCACACCAGCCGGGCTACAGTATGCTCTTTTTAAATATATATATATATATATATTTAAATACATTTTTATTGATTTCAGAGAGGAAAGGAGAGGGAAAGAGAGATAGAAACATCAATGATGAGAGATTCATTGATTGCCTGCCTCTTGCACGCCCCCCATTGGGGGTCAAGCTCACAACCCAGCATGTGTCCTTGACCGGAATCGAACCTGGACCTTTCAGTCCACAAGTCGATGCTCTATCCACTGAGCCAAACCGGCCAGGGCACAGTATGCTCTTTTAAAATAAAGTAAAAAAGGAAACAAACAAACCAAAAAGGCCAATAACCCCTCGATCTTGATTAATCACTTTCACATTTTTTTAAAGTAGTGCTTATCCACTGTGAGAAAAAGTAAATCATACAGAAAGGTTCTCAGGGAGAAACCTCCTGCAGTCTTCCTTCCGCCCCCCTACTGTTTTATTTCCGATAATCATGAGAGACATTCTTTTCCCCCCGATGATTTTATTTTGAAACTTTTATTATTTTTTTTAATTAAAATTTTTTATTGTTTAAAGTACTGCATATGTCTCCTTTCCCCCCATTGATCTCTCCCTGGCCATTCCCACCCCCCCCCCCCCCCCACTCGTGCCCTAACACCCCTCTCCCTACTGTGTCCATGGGTTATGCTTATATGAAGGCATACAGTCCTTTGGTTGATCTCCTACCCCTCCTCACCACACCCCCTTGCCCCTGCCTTCCCTCTGAGGATAGATGGTCTGTTCGAACTTCTATGTCTCTGGATCTATTTTTGTTCATCAGCTTATGTTCATTATATTCCACAAATGAATGATATTTATCTTTCTCCGACTGGTGAGAAAATTCTTTGCTGAAATCTTTATGCATATGCTATCTATATACAATATTCTACCAAATGAAACTTTTTAATATCCGAGAGTGCTCATACCTATTCCTTACCTTGCTGAAATATGTTATTTTACGCATATAAAATTTAGAATTATTTTATAAGATTTTCTCCACCCAATCTCCATAGAAGTCATTGGACCTTTAAAAAAATATATTACCTTACATTAATTCAGGAAGAATTGAGATCTTTCAACATTCAATATTTTTCTTATCAAGGAAGATAGCATTTCAGATCAGGGGCTTTATTATGACTCAGTTAAGATTTACGTTTTTCTTCTGATTCATTCCTGTTTCTACTAAAAGCTGTTTCTTTGTATCTTATGTGTTTTTCGACCCTTACTGGTTGGATCCCGTTGCAATTCTGTTTTCTAATTTATTGTTTCTAGTATGTTTATTAACATTCACCAAGATATGCATTTATTTATTTATTTATTATTTATTTTTATCTCAGAGAGGAAGGGAGAGGGAGAGAGAGAGAAATGTCAATGACGAGAGAGAATCATTGATCTGCTGCCTCCTGCACACCCCACACTGGGGACCGAGCCCGCACCCCAGGCACGTGCCCTGACCGAGCATCGAACTGTGACCTCCCGGTTCATAGGTAGATGCTCAACCCCTGAGCCATGCCAGCGGGGCACACATGTATCTTTTTAGTATTGTAGCTTGTACCTTAGGGTTTTAAAAATTTATAATCATGTCTACAATCATGAGTATTTCTGCGCCTCCCACAAGTCCTGCCTCCTTTGTTTCCAGAACTGACAATGTTCACAGGTGCTTAGAGAAGGCGCGTGTCCGATCCTGACTGGATTTCACTGGGAAGGCCTTCAATACTTCACCTCAAGGAACGATGTTGACTCTTGTTTTCATATAGAAAATCTTATTATGGATGCAGCCCCCTATTTTAAAAAATATATATTTTATTGATTTTTTTAACAGAGAGGAAGAGAGAGGGATAGAGAGTTAGAAACATCGATGAGAGAGAATCATCGATCAGCTGCCTCCTGCACACCCTCCACTGGGGATGTGCCTGCAACCAAGGTATGTGCCCCTGACAGGAATCGAACCCGGCACCCTTCAGTCCGCAGGCTGACGCTCTATCCACTGAGCCAAACCGGTTTCGGCCCAGCCCCCTATTTTTGAGATGTTTTTTAAAATCAAAATTCATGTTTAATTTTACAAAATGCCTTTTCAGTCTCCATGGAGACAATCTATTAGTTTCATTTTCTTATTTAGATTATCAGTATGGTACAGTATTAGTGATCAAAGCACCTCCAGCTTTGTGGAAGAAGTCTTACATAGATTTTGCAAAGTGTCCTCATATATATTCTTTTTAAAAAATATATATTTTTTCATTTATTTCAGAGAGGAATGGAGAAGGAGAGATAGAAACATCAATGATGAGAATCATTGATAGGCTGCCTCCTGCACGCCCCCTACTGGGGATCAAGCCCGCAACCCGGTCATGTGCCCTTGACCAGAATCAAACCCTCTCAGTTCGCAGACCGATGCTCTATTCTAGGGGTGTCGAACACAATCAGAGAAGGGGCCAAAATCTAAAATCCTGCCTAAATCGCGGGCCAAATGGTTTACTGAACAGTCATAAACTGTCATTGTGATGGAAACGCAGCGGAGTGCAGTGATGACAGCGCGGTGCGGGCCACATTGCAAGGCCTGGCGGGACGGATTTGGCCCGCGGGCCTTGTGTTTGACACATGTGCTCTATCCACTGAGCAAAACTGGCTAGGGCTATATTCTTCATTTCAGTCACATGCATGCCTGGGAGGGAGTGATTGTCTCCTGATGGGGTGGGTGGGAACGGACTAGAAAAGCAGGAGGCAGCTGTGCAGGGCGCTGGGAATTTCCATGTGTTGAGTGGGTGATGGTTGCTCAGGTGTGTACAGTTGTCAGAGCTGGAACTGACACTTAAGGGGTGAGCGCTGCCCCAGGGGGCGGGGCCTGCAGGGAGCACACAAGGACACAGGCTGAGAGGCACAGCAGGGAGGTTCCTCTTTGTCTCTACAGAGACCGGGAAGGAGGGGCTGCCCCAGCTCACACAGCTGGCTGATGGTCAGTCTCACTCCTGGAATCCAGGACTCCTGACTAGAACCCAGGGGGTTTTCCACTCTATTTTACAGGGTCGGGCAGGCCCAGATGGGTCTCCGATGACAAGGAAGCTGCTGGTTCCAGCGAACAACGAGAACCCCATAGAAAGTGAGTGATTTGTTCCCCAACAGAGGAACAGTGTCCTAACTGCTGTCCCTGTAGCTGTCACGGCAGTACAGAGCCAGGGACGCTGGAAACCGGGGGGGCCTATGCTGATTGTCACTGGGCCATTAGGACAGTAAATCCCCTCCCCTCCTCTCTCCCTCCACACCCTTCTTCCCACTGCACCCCATCCCATCTCATCACAGCGATGTTCCTTACAGCCCTGTCCTTCTCTCCACCACCTTCCCCCTTCCCTGGCTGCTCAGGGCCAGGCTCACCGCGCTGAGGGCACCTAAGGGGCTGGCACTGTCCAGCAGGCCCAGGGGGCTACCGAGCAGCTGACCTCTGGCGAGGCCAGATTTAAAGAGCTGTAATTATAAACCACAGCTCAGGCTTTCCATACTAGAACAAAAAAGGGGATATAAAATATTCCCTGGTAATTTTTTTTTTTTTTTTGGTTATTGGTTGCCTGTAAAGATAATATTTTGTAAGTATTGAATTAGTACCAGATAGTATTAAAATTAATATTGCCTGTTCCTTTTTATCTTCTCCAATCTAGCTATTAGAAAAACATAAATAAGTGGTCCTGGCTCGCCTCATATTTCCGTGGGTCCGTGGTGTGCAGTGCGTTCCACGCACGTCTCATTGCACCCTCAGCACAGGCCCATGAAACGGGTGGAGTTTGCTCTGCTTCCGGGTTAGATTCTTGCTCAGAGTCTGCTTGTCCCCGTCTTACTCTGCCAGTTCGGTGGGTGAGGCGAGCTGGGTGTGGAGCCCGCGGTCATCCCCCTCCAAGCTTATTGATTTCAGAGAGGAAGGGAGAGGGGTAGAGATAGAAGGGACAGGCGCAGATGTGGCAGCCCCGGACCTTACGCTCAGGAGAAGTGCAGGCTCCCTCCTCTGAGGGCCTGCTGCACTACAGTCTGTCCCACTCTCTGTCTCCCACCACATACTCCTCTTTCCCTCTATCCATGATGTCCATCTCCCCTCCCAGGTGGCTATCAGCCTTCCCTTAAAGCAGAATTCTCTTGTCGATCTTGACTCCGAAGTGCCATGGCCACAAGTGAGGCCCAGACTGGCCTGATTCTAGTACTGTTTACTGATGGGGAGCAGGTAAGGGATGAAGAGCAACAGGTAACCAGCAGGAGGCACTCCAGTATACAGTTCCCCTTTTTGTTGTTAATCCTCACAGGAGGGTATTTTTCCCATTGATTTTAGACTCTAAAATTTAGATGGAAGGAAGAGGAGACAGAGAGAGAGAAACATTGATGTGAGAGAGACTATCAATTGGCTGCCTCCTACATGCGTCCTGACCAGAGCCTGGGATTGAGCCCACAACAAAAATACATGTCCTTGACTGTAATCGCACCCAAGACCCTTCCCTTTGTGGGCTGACACTCTAACCACCAGCTAGGTCTATATCTGCCCTTTTTGCTGGTTTTCCTCTGCCTCACCAGACTGTCTCTGTGGCTTTTCCCCATTTAGCCCTGAGGGAGAGCTTCTTGGTCTTCTCAGAGTTCGTGCCCTTGCGTCGCCAGAAGCGATTCATGAAGTTGGTGGGCCTCACAGAAAATGATATCTACATCGCCCAAAACCAAGAGTCGCACCCCCGGGATGCCTTGTATGAAATGCTGAACATCTGGCTCTACATCAACGGGAAGGCTGCCTCCGTCAACACCCTACTGAAGTCCTTGGAAGATATGAAGGAAATGCATGTGAAGGAGATGATTGAGGAGCGCCTGCTGAGGTCCGGAAAGTATGTCTATGAAGGAGGTGAAGCAGGTTCTGCTGTTTCCAGTGAAAACGATGACCTTCGGAGACCAGAGGTTTCCTAGTTTACCTTTTCTCCTGAAGGGGAAATAAGACTGGACACTACATGCCTGGCCAGTGCGGCTCAGTGGTTGAGCATCCACGTATGAATCAGAAGGTTGCGGTTCCATTCCCTGGCAGGGCACATGCCCGGATTGCAGGCTGGATCCCCAGTGGGGGCTGTGTGGGAGGCAGCTGCTCCATGATTCTCTCTTACCACTGAGGTTTCTATCTCTACCCCTCTCCCTTCCTCTCTGAAATCAATAAGCTTGGAGAAATTTCTCTTCAAATTGGTTCATAGGCCAATGCTCAACCTCTGAGCCACACCAGCAGGGCCTGGCATTTTTTCATTCTAATAGACTTGCACTTTTTTTTTTACTTGTTACTTAATGTTTTGTATAATTCACAAAACATTTGTGTTGTTATATGTCCAAGTTTTTGCCTAACTGTGATAGGGCTCTATTTTATTTTTGAAAACATGTTTTTCTATTATTATTGTATTATTTTTTGTGAACTTATTTTTGCCCTATCCTGTATATATTTATATGGTTACCAGATTGATCCCATGCATTAACCTAAATGGGAGAAGGGAACAAAAGTGCACAAGAATCACCGCACGTCTGGGGATGGTGCTCCCGGCTCCCTGCTCCCTCAGGTGCACTTTGAACTTGTCCAGCATTAGGTGACTGGCCATTTCTGCAGCAGGATGGGGAACGTCCGGCCCTCGGGCCCTGCAAGGCCGGCAAAACCATTTGGTCTGGCCCTGCCAACGGTAACCACAAGTAGAACTTGAAATTTAAGAAATCTAGCTTTTTCATAGCAATATACATTTATATTTAGTGGATCATAATAATAATGTAAATTTTTAGGGACAAGCAAGAATGTCCATTATGGGACGTTCATAAAATATACTTTAAGTGCCCTGCGAAGGTTCTAGAACATCTTAAGTGCTGTAGGCATTTGGATGATAGAACTCAAGAACTGGAAATTTTGTCCAGGACAGTATCTAGTACATGACGGGATAGACATGTATGCTTCCCGTCAGCTGCCCCTGGCCCGTCTGCCAGTATGGCGGGGACTCCTAGGACAGGCAGCGCAGGCAGCCTGGGAGTGCGGCTGTGAAAGTGTTAACACACTGTGGCTAAACTACTGCGATCAGGGATGATGAGGCGGGGTGCGATGAGACGATTCCTCGCGACGTGGGTGACCTTGCCTCGGATAATTGGCAACGATGTTGTCGACTTCCTTGCCGACACAGATGACATCTCCAACCTTTATCCACATGTCTACCATCAACAATTCTCAAAAAAAACACACCCAAAACTGAATCTCGGGGGAAGACTAAGGAGATTACTATACAAAGAAAAGATCTCTAGAGCCAATGATACAAATGCCGGATATGTTTCAAATCCAAGATGCAAGATTAGAAACAGCGATCAAAGCAAAATCATTGCGTTGCTGACGACACACCCACTGGGTAGTTATTACAACTTAAGGACGTGACGTCCTACAAATGGCGACTACAAAGAAAACAAATGTTAACGCAGAGTGTTACGACAGCGGACATAAGAGGTGCTGTCCAGCGGGCCGTTTTCGCTGGTGGGATAACTGCAGCGTTGGACCTGCCAGAGGAACTGCTGTCAGTGGAAGCCACGCAGGGCGCTACACGAGGGGAGGACTTGTGCGAGAGACTGTTTTAGCAATGAAAAGTTTTAAGCTGACATTTGAAAAGTTAAGTGGCCTCCCTATCGATGTAGGAGCTACAGCCATGGCTGGCTCCCAAAAAGGGAGAATTGGCATCTGTCAAGAAAGAATTGAACTGTCTCAGTCTTGATCCAAGTGGCTTAATTATAAGCCACTGACTGCATCCGACACCAAGAGTCTCTGCACAGTGGGTGCGGCTCAACAACGATATGTCAACTGCAGTGTCATGCATACGTGTTGTCAAAAGCAGAGAGTTTAGCCCTGGCCAGTTTTCCTCAGTGATTAGCACATCGGCACGCTGAGGGAACGGTCAAGGTTCGATTCCCAGTCAAGAGCATGTATCTCAGTTGCAGTTTCGTTCTTTTTTCTTTAATCCTCACCTGAGGATAGTTTTCCATTGATTTTTAGGGAAAGTGGGAAAGAGGGAGAGACAAAAGAAAAATATCGATGTGAGAGAAACACATTGATTGCTTTCGCCCAAACCTGCATGCGCCCAAACCAGGCCCGGACCAGGGAGGAGCCTGCAATTAGGTATGTGCCCTTGACCGGAATCAAACCCAGGACCCTTTGGTCCACAGGCCATCATTCTACCCACTGAGCAAAACAGGCTAAGGCCCTTAGTTGCAGTTTCAATTCCTGGTCCCAGTCAGGGTGCAAGAGAGAGATAACCAATAGTTGTATGTCTCTCCTCCTTCACCCCTCATTTCCACTCTCTAAAAAAAAAAAATCAATTAAAAAAAATATATATACATACATACATACATACATACACACATACACACACACACACATATATATATATATATATATATATATATATATCTTCTCTCCATGGGTGAGGATTTTAAAAAGCAAAGCAATAAATAAATAAATAAATAGCAGAGGGTTAAACAGCTGCCAGTTTAAGGAGTTACTAAATGACCTTGACTCTGAGTACGGTGACCTTGTTTATCACTGTGAAGTGTGGCGGCTGAGTCCCATGAGGTTTTATGAACTGCGGGAAGTCAGGCAGTTCTGTTCCCAACCTCGATCCTTGTCTTCTCATATATATGAATTTATTCGAGAGACCTTCACTGTGCTGTGAAAAGCCAATGTATTAAAGCGATGAAACCACGTGCCTTTCTTAAAGAAGCAAAGCAAGCAAACCTATGCATCTGGCTTAAGAAGAGCCAATCTGAAGAGCCGGTTGGGTGGGGGTCCGAGGCGCTATATATACAGCCTCCTGTTTATAGGTCTCAGAACTCCTTTGCGGATTGTTTTGGTACGGATTCATTCCTGAGGCCCTTTTTCCTTTGCTGTGACCTGCCCAGAATTCATTTCTTTTTAACCATTTGCTCTGCTGTCCTTGGCTGGGGAAGAAATTTCTTATTAGTTACAAGCTGCCGATTGCCCACACTGTATGGCCTTGTTTTAACTTTCCTGTCTCAGTTTCCCACCTGGAACCCTGTAACAGTTCTTTTCAAAACTTACCATTGCCCAGAGCTGACGTCACGCCAGACGAACAGGATGGAAATGTGAAAAAGCAGTTGCGAGGAGCAACATCATCAAGACCAGCAACACACCTCGCCCAAGAGAAGCAGAGCTAGCCATTACGTTAGGGAGCTTTGTTAAATGACCAAGGGTAGCAGGCTAATTTTTAAGTTGATAATTTTGTTCGGCTCGAGAATGATGTTCTAAATATCCACGTGGCCCTTGGCAGAAAAAAACAAAACAAAACACGTTCCCCACCCTTGCTCTAGACTCTAGACCACTCTTTTCCATGTGATAGCTGTTTGAATATTTATAGATAGATTTTAGTAAGTGAGAAGTGGTACGGCCCTGTGCGGGCCGTTCCTGAACTGGGCATCCTTTCCCTCATCTTCGGATGTGGGTGAGGAGGGTAGGAGATGTGCCCGGTACCTTCTACATCAGGGGTCCTCAAACTTTTTAAAGTGGGGGCCAGATCACGGTCCCTCAGAGAGCTGGAGGGCCGGAGTATATGAACTACTAATTCCTACTGTAACACCTCGGCTGCGCTCACTGCCCAAAAAACCTGGCGGGCCGGATCACATCATGTGCCATTTTCCATCATATTGGGGACGTTCAGCCCTAGCGTGCTCACTTGACCGTGAGGGGACAGGCTCACACTGTCTGCCCTGGTCTCAGAGAGAAGTAGATGGTGCTAATATTTGATAGCAGCATTAACGAGGCTCTCTCCCTCCTCCCCCCTATTTGGTTATTTATTGAAGCCTTTATTAGTCTGTAAACGTGAACTGCACCCATCATTTCGCCCGTGGTGCTATGCGGCAGGCCAGGTACCTCCTGCCTCTGCTGTCCTGTGTGGGATGCTCTGCCCGGGTATCATCAGATGATGTGAATAACTTAGTTTCAATCAGGTTCCAGTGTGAATGTGTCCTCCTTAATTGTATGATTGTCCTGTTTATTTAAAAGGTCAGCATGAATGAGAGCTTGACATTGTCTTTTTTTATGTCCAGTCCAAATAGCACCTTGCACTTCCTAGACACTCAGTGTTAATTAGCAGTTGGGTAGTTTTTCATGCTTCTCTCCAGTGAAAAGTGCCCCCTTTGACGTTTGTTGGGAATAGCAATAATAATGCAAGGGAAACTATGAAGTACAAAATATTCATGTATTTATGAATCCATGACCAAATTAAATATGAAACCTTATATAAAAAGAGTGTGGGTTTGTTGTTTCCTCCGCGTCCGTCCTCCCATTCTCTGGAACGCTGAGTGACGTGAGGAGTACTGGGCTGTCCTGTCCATTCTTGCTGTGGGACTCGCTCCTTCCTTTCCCTGGATGCTTTCACTGGCCCCACATGGCCGGGTTCCTGCTCTGACTCTGAATTTTCAAGTGTCAGGGCCACGGGGACTGGAATTGTAGCCCCTTCTTTATGCCCTTACTCCCGGGAGAGGGGAGCACCAGGCCTGACCCGGCCCCCCAACCTCCAGCCTCCTCAGGTGGTGTCTCTGGCTTACACCTGGGCCTCCTGGGTCCCTGGTACAGACCAGCTCTGACAGAGCAGTCAGGAGGGGTGGCGAGTCCCTGAGGGGTCAGCTGGTCCTGGTTGCTGTGAGGAGTCCGTGGTGCCTCTCCTGTGAGCTTCCTGCACCTCCTGGGCCACCTTCCCTTGCTCCCCCACTGGCCAGGGCTGTCCTGTAGGCTCATGGGCTCCCATTTCCCCTCCTCGTGGACTTTAGGCCTTGGCTCTCATTCTCACCTGCAGTTCCTGGGACACCCTGTGGCTCCTGTTTCCTTCCCCAGAGCTCTTCCCACCAGACATTAACCTACCCTGCCCCTCCCATTGCTCCCCAGCCTCCCCCGAGACCACAGACTGGCCAGCAGAGGGCAGCACGCAACCGGCATACCCAGCAGCCACCCTGAGGGGAGGTAGCCAGGGCCTTGGAGAAGTCTGGGGCTCAGACAGCATAGGTCATGCAGCTCTAGCCACCTCTTGCTTCTTCTTCAGACAGACTTAACCTGAAATCTTTAGGTCTTGGCACCACTAAGTAGTTACAAAGGCTTCCTTTGTGTCAAGTTTGTTCTCTCCCAGACCTGAAGCCTGACTCGGTGGTGGAAGCCAGTCCCTCCTCAGGCCAGGCTCCACCCTCATCAGAGAGACTCTGTCTTCTGTCTAGAAAGGATGTGCGAGTGAAATAGGACCCTTGCGACCCAGCTTCTCCCCGGAGGGGCTGCAAGCGCTGTCCTCATCCCTGTCTCATCCCGCCTCTTCTCTGGACCGACTTTGGAGCTGCTCCTGCTCCATCCTCCCTATTTCCCTTTATCCCAAACCAGCACTGAGGAAGGTCCTGTCCTAGGACACTTCATCACCGAGATTCCTGTTCCCAAGTCAGTGACCTTTTTCCTGGCCCTTGACCCCTACCCCAACCCTATTTTCAAAACACATTCTGCGGGGTCACCTCTGAAGGTGAGGAGGATAACCTGCCGCTCGTGATGGGCAACAGTAACCATCCAAGGCCATGGTCAAACCCTGAGGCCACCCTTCCCTCCCTACCCTCCCTCCCCCCAACCACGGGTCCCCAATGCCTACCGCTGGAGGCCTGGGATTGGTGCTGCCCCAGAGACTCCGGCAGCCAGCAAAAGCCCTTTCCTCAGGACTGGAAACACTTTCTATAGTCTAAGCCTTTGCCTCGTCAATGCGGGGGCCTGTTTGGTTTTATAAAATGTAAGCCCTACAGGGTCTTTTTCTGTCCTTCCTTGGAGGGAACAGAGGCTAGAGTGTTTCTGTTGGTGGTGATTGTTTGTTGCTTTTTCTTTTTTTCTTTTTTGCTAATTTTTGTCCCACCCTGCAAGAAGCCATGCTAACTAGAGGAGCCCAGGATCGCCGCGTCCAGACCCCTTCACCCCCTTCCTTCTTCCCCCGTTCTAGCTGTTTGCTTTGGATCCCATCTCGGAGTGTGAAGGAGAGTGGAGGGAGACGTTTCTCGTTGCACCGGGAGACCCTGCTTCCAGGCCCGGAGCTCTGAACAACTCCACACCCCTTTCCCAGGCCGGATGCTGGCGGCTGGGAGGCAGGCCGGCACCCCGGGAGGGGTGGCCTCCGGCAGCTGCACCCAGGAAATGGAAGCCTTGAGCGGGGCCCTGAAGGCTTGTCTACCCTGACTTCTCCAGTGAGGGTCTGAGTTGGCTCCGTGTGGAAATGCCCACAAAACATTTGCAACCCCCAAGTCCACTGGTAGAAAAATATGGGCCAAGAGAGGCAGGACCTCCCTGGGCACCGTGCTCACCGGGAGGGGGCTGCCTCCACAGACCACAACTCTCACGGCTGGACTCTAGGGTTGTCCAACCCAGAGACACGATGCCGGCACTCTCAGGAGCTGCCCCCAGCTCCCACCTCCCAGGAGCTGTCCCCTGTCCCGATTCACAACTGGGGACCTCCAAAGGGGGCCCCCGTTCTGACCCACGGGGCCCGGCTCCTCTCTGGCTGAGCTGTTGGCTGGGGAGAACAGCCCCACCTTTAGGGTCCTGGTTAGGTGGGTCCCCCGGTCCCTGGGAGGTGGAGGGGGCGATGCAGAGAGCGGAGGGGCAAGGGCAGGTGGGCACAAGAGCAGCAGAGTCGGAAGAGGGCGGCAGCATCTCAGACCACGGCGGAGGAGGAAGAGGGGGACGCGGAGGAGGCCGCAGGGGAGGACGGGGAGGAGGGGCTGTTCCAGAACAGCCACCGCCGCTTGGGCTGCCGCTTCAGGTGGAGATAGTCCTCCTTCTCACGCTCCTTCCGGGCCCGCTGGTAGTGGTCTTCCTCCTTCAGGTACCACACGGGCGGCCAGCGGTGCTTCTCAAAATACTCCTGGTTTTCTGGAGCAGAACGCAGGAGGGTTTGGTTAGAGGGAAGGCAGAAAGGGCGAGAGGAAATCCTGGGATGTGACGGGTGTCCAGGGACCTGCACCTCCGACCCTGATGCCTCAGGGACCTGTCAGCCAGGAGCACACGCCAGGCCCTGGGCCACGAGGGGAAGCCCCTGCCTTCACAGAGCCCCCTGCCCAGCCGCAGAGCTCCCTAAAGGAGCCCCAGGGGAAGGACTCAACGGCTGCTTCCTGTGCCTTGGGGATAGAACAGGCTGGGACGAAGGACGAGACAGGGAGCAGGTGCAGCACGGCGGGGCTGAGGTAGCAGCCTCTGGTGGGGCTGAGGCTCTGAGCTGAAGCGGCCATGGGACGCAGGAGGGTCAGCCCGAGAAGGCGTGGCTGAGAGGTAAGGACTGATTCCGAAAGGCTAGGGGGCCAGGGGAAGGATGGAATCAGGGGAGTGATGTGATTGGGGCTGCGCTTTAGAAAGAAAAAAACGCTCCAAGGGGGAAAGGGAGAGCTTGGGGTGAGAGACGGGCGCAGAGACAACCTGGGAGCAGGGAGGGGGGCCCAGCAGAGCGGAGGTTGCCCAGTGCGGACCTCCAGGTCACCGAGTGGCAGGAACTCCGGGAGGCCAGGGGCACCTCTCCCAGGTGCCCGTGCAGTTCCAGTTGGGCCCCAGGACCTGACACATACACGACGCAGAGGCTGAGTCCCAGGGCCTCAGAGGCCACCCGGATCTGTGCTTCCGAGCCATTCCTACCTTGTGAAACCAGTGCAGCATCATGAGCAGAATTACAAACAATAAGCGAGGGGTCAGCAGGCCCTGCCGGGGAAGCTCACCTGGGGACATGGCCTTCATGTCTCGCGGGAACTTGCGGCACACGTTGTTGTAGTTGGTGCAGATGTGGTGGAGACACCAGTCCGCCAACTGGTATGCACAGTGGAACTGGGGAAACACAGAAGAGCACTGTGCTGGGACCCAGGGCGGAGTCAGCACGGGCAGCTCAGATGCTGTCAGAGCAGAACCGTCAGTGCAGGTGGCAAAGGTCCTGCAGTGAGTGGGAAAGCCCACCTGGGGAGGCACACCACTCACGCTCTTGGCATCAGCATCATCACCACCACCACCACCATCACCTTCACCACCATCACCACCTCTACCACCTCGCCTCTGTCCTTGCCAGCATCCATGGAAATCCCTGGCCCTACATTGTGGCTTCCTACTGTGTCCGCCTCCTCAGATCTCACTCTGGGCGCTGTTCTCTCTTCCCCACCCAGGGCCAAAGCAGTCTACACTAAGGTGCTGACGACTAGGCTTAGAGCTCACGAATCTGCTCCAACTCCAGAACTGATCGTTAGTGCTAGAAGGACCGGCGTGGGGGGATGCTGCTAGTTTGTACGGGAATAAGGAGGTGGGCAGTTAATTTTAGAAGGGAGTCCTGCATGTCCTTTAACTGGCATCAGACAGGCAGCAGCCATGTCTACCCAGGAGGCTGGGGTTTGCTTCCCTACCCGATGGCTGCCTGAAGTCTCAGCCCCTTGTTCCCATGCTCCCATGCCAGCTCTCCTCCTGGCAGGTCAGGGTGCATCCTCTGGCCAGGAGGCGGAGAGGGACCCGCACACTCAGGGAACTGAGTCTGACAATGGGTTCCCCTCCTACCTGCCACCCCTTAGCCCCTCCCCTTGCACGGCCAATGGGCAGACAGAGCCCAGGGTTGAGCCTGTTGGAGAGACCCCTTCCCTGGCCATCCTACCTGAGCCAGTTCCAGGAACACAAGGACGTCCCCATCGATGTCCACCATCATCTGCGTGGCTTCCATCAGCCCGGTCACGGTGTACTGCTCTGTGACACACACAGCCGGGGATCAGCCGGAGAAGCACATGAGTGGCCATGTGCTCACTTATACCCCCCAGCAGGGGCCTACTGCCAGGCAGAGAGAGAACAAGGCCAAGGGCAAGTCCCAACAGGCCCAGGAAAGGCTGCAGGCGATTAGAGTCATCGGCTCCCACCAACGAGGTAACCGGAATTGGAGCAAGACTAGCCCAGCAGAGTGGGGTGGGATCCGAAGGAGGATGTTAGTATTGTCTAAGAGGATTTTTTTCAAGCTACATATGCTGCTTCAAATAGTCTGATACATGTAGGAGGAAAGCCCCTGCTGGAATCAGCCAGTGCCACTGCCAGGGGAGGGTATGAAGTCAGGTTTGCTGAGAACTATGAGTTAGAACTCCAGATTAAACCTAGCTGCTGGTAGTAACTTAAATTTTAGAACAAAACGTGTATTAGCATTGCATTTTAAGTTACTGCTTATACTGAAAAAGTAAACACTTTTAGTTTATACTGAATTTTAATAGTATCAGTATAAACTTCTGAGGTATTTTATCTTTAAAAATATATTTCCCAGCTCAGTCCTAGCAAAATGGAAACGACCTAGTGGCAACAGCCCTCGCCGCAGCAAAGAGCATTCCTGGTGCCCAGGCTGCAGCCCCGAATGCCATTTCTGGCTCTCGGGAACCAGGATCTCATAGAGAAATGGCTAATTCAGGGTCCGGAGCAAGAAATGAACACAAGGATCCTGGAACATCTCATTCCATAGAACCAGAAGCACAGCAACTCTGGAGACAACCTGAAGAGACTTGTACTGGTTAAAGTTTCAGTACAGTGTTTGAGCTTCAATAAGGATAAAAGCAAACATTTGAAACGAATCAAGTATGTTCAATCTAAGGGTTCATAATAATACTTAAAAAAAACCAAACATCTAATTGGTCACCCTCAAAGGATGAAAGGATAGGAAACAAATTTATCTTGAAATCTGGATAAAAGGAAAGAATCAAGCAGTCACCTCCTCTCCTATGTGAATTACACCACTGGTTAACTAACCAGTAGGTGAGGAGTTTTTCTCTTTTTAGAAATAGTCCAACAGATAAACAAAGGAGGAATGATTGAATTGGAGCACTACCATTTCACATCTAATAAATGAACGGGTCCAGGCAATGATACTCAATGGCTGGTAACATCACGGCAAGAGAGAAAAGCACAGAAACAAACTATGAAGTTGTCTTAGCCAAAGAAAACTGAATGTGAATGTGATCTGGCCTCTGTGTCTAATAACCAGTCTGTGGGAAGAACGGTGCTACATAGAAATACAATCAACTACATATCTACATTTTCTAGATCAATGGGCGTTTTCCAACAAATAATTGCAAGGGGAAATGTTTCTCTTTCTCTCTTTTTTTATCCTCACCTGAGGATATATTTTTGTTGATTTTAGAGAGAAAGGAAGGGAGAGGGAGAAAAAGAAAAACAGCAATAGGTTGCCTCTCATATGCACCCTGACCGGGGAAGGAACCTGCAACCTAAGTACGTGCTCTCACTGGAAATTGAACCTGTGGCACGGGATGATGTTCCAACCAACTGAGCACATTGGCCAAGGAGGGAATATATTTTTTATTAACAAGGTACCTATAGATGAAAAACCATGCTACAGTGATTAAGGATGTACACTTGGACGCTAAAACCATGAAGAAGACCAAGGAAGTGAGGCCATAAAAAGCACCTCCCAGAAGAGTAATGGGCAAAGAGGTAACTCCTGGGGAGGAGGGAAGGACTGTGATTGGGCGGGACGGCTGGAAGACTTCTAGTGTGGCTGGAAGCTTCTAGCTCCTGATATGGGTCATTATAATAATTCATCAAGCTGAACATATGTGTATTTGTGTTATCTATAATGATAAAAGGGTCTTCCGGACATCATTCCGACATCCTTCCTGATGAAGCCGGGGCTGGAGGGAAGCCAGCCTGGGTCCCGGGTTTCGAAGGGAAGCTGGTGCCAGCAGCTGGGGAAAGGAAGGCCTACTCTTGCACCAATTTTCGTGCATCGGGCCTCTAGTATTTAATAAAGATGGTTTAAGTTTGAATTTATAACTTCAGAGAAAGCATATCTCACAAAACATAAAGCATCACCAGCTATACCATACCCGGCATTTTCTGCTGATCCTTGACAAGGTATACACATTACATTTTTGTACATGATTTCTAGCGTGCATAGACCACTTATTTCATGGGAAAAGTCACTCAAGGTTATTTTCTATGAGCCTTTTTGTGCATCACTGCCATTTAACATCTTTAATGGCTCCCTGGTGAAAATTACCCATGTGTGCTTAACCAGTAGTGCCTATTTGACTTGTCTCTGATTGCCCGCCATGATGAAACAAACTTACAGAAGCATCTTTATATACGTTTTTCCTTTGAGTCATTTCTTTGGAGAGAGTCTTTCTAAAGTTGAATTACTTGCCCGGCTGGTGTGGCTCAGTGGTTGAGCGTTGACCTATGAACCAGGAGGTCATGGATCTATTCCCAGTCAGGGCACACGCCCGGGATTGCAGGTTTGATTCCCAGGAGGGGGTATACAGGAGGCAGCTGATCAATGATTCTCTTTCGTGAATGTTTCTATCTCTCTCTCCTCTCCCTTTATCTCTGAAATCAATAAAAATACTAAATAAATAAAAATAAATAAAGTTGAATTACTTGGCCCAAGGATGTGGACAGCCTATGTGCTCTGGGGAGACCGCACCACTTTTCGTGGACGCCATGCTGCTACAGCGGTGATCTTCAGAAGCCTCCTCTTGCTCCCTGCCCTTACGCCCTCTGTGTCCCCTGCTGGGGCCCCTGGACGCTCTCTGCAGCTCAGCCCTTACCATTCCGGTCTGATCAATGATTTCTGCCGTCTTCCTATGACCAAGCCTACCTTATGACCATTGCTCATTATAGGTTGATGCTTCCCTCGTATCTGAGACCCAGATTAGATTGTCTGCCCAGGGCCCCAGCTGCTCTGACCCTGAGATCTTCCCTGAATCTCGACCCAATGTCAGAGGCCCTGCCCTCTGCCCACCTGCCGACCAGCCAAGAATATAACCCCGATATCATCATCAGTCTAGGTACCAATGCCAACACCAATACCACACAGATCCCAATTCCAACATCACCAGGAGCTGTCTGTCTGCCTGCATTGCTGGCCCTGACTCTCATGGTCTGCCACTTGGCTTTCCTCTCGCCTCAGTTCTTGTTCCCTGAGGGCCTCTAAGGCTGGTGCCTTCCAAAAGCTAAGCTCCAGCCCTGGCGGGGTGGCTTAGTTGGTGGGAGTGTCTTCCCATACACCAAAAGGATGCAAGTTTGATTCCTGGTCAGGCACATACCTGGGCTGTGGGTTTGATCCACAGTCAGAGTGCATATGAGAGGCAACCGATTGATATTTCTCTCTCGCTTTAAAATCACTAAAAAAAAAAATAAAAAAAAAATAAAATTGTTGGGTGAGGATTAAATAACAATAAACAAACAAACAAACAAACAAAATAAAAGTTGGCTCCAGTTCTCACAGTTTTTTCAGTGAATTAGGAGTGCCAGGTCAATGCTCATTGTCTATTTTTGGAAGAAGAAAGAAAATACAGGTGGAAGAGAAAAGGGAGAAGAAGAGAAAGGAAAGAATACAGAATAAACTAAGCAGATTTATGTGACCAAACGAGACAAAGGAGAGGGAGGAGAAGCAAAGGGTGGAAATGTGGAATCCTATTCTCTCTGACCCTCAGACTCTCCTGAGGGAGCCACGCTGAGCGGAGCATCAGGCACTGGTTTTGTTGGGCGGGAATCGCCTTTGGATACGACCTACCCGTGACTCCATCGAGCATCTTTCGCACACTCACTTCTTCACAGCTGTGTCCTCGCCCAACCTCCATACATGTCAGCATGCTTCCTTTAGGTAAGTGGGTCCCTCAGTGCTAGGCTAGTGGTAGCGGTGTATCCCCGAGGAGGACACAGGCGAGAGGCCAGCACTGCTGGCGGGCGCCCCGCCTCCCCCACCCTCCCAGAGAGGTCTGCCCACTCGTCAGTCACCTGTGAGGGCCACCAGGTGCGGCAGGCAGAGGCGGTTGGCCAGGATGATGAGCTTCATGTCGTCCAGGTCGGGGCTGGAGGTGAACATGCCGGTGTACAGGTACTCCAGCACCGCCCGCATGCAGCTCCTGCTCGTGTGCGGGAACACTACCTGGGCAGGAGGAAGCCGCCGCAGTGAGGTGAGGTCGGCCTCAGGAAGAGTCCCTCAGTTCGGAGAAACGCAGAAGGCCCCGCCCCACAGGGCCAGTCTCCCCCACACGGGGAGCCACCCCTGTGCAGCCCCTGTACCTGCCGAGGAGCCCCCAAAGGCCTGTCTCCCAGAGAGACAGCCTGTGCTAAGGCCATCGGCTGGCCGCACCAGGGAGCAGAGCTCTACCAGCTTTTAAAAGGCCCTGGTTCTCTGCAAGAGGCAGCTGATCGATGATTCTCTCTCATTGATGTTTCTAATTCTCTATCCCTCTCCCTTCCTCTCTGTAAAAAATCAATAAAATATATTAGAAAAAAAAAAGGGGGGGGGGCGCTGTTTCTCCCTGACACCTTCCCAAAAGCATCCTGGCTTAGAGGATGCGGGAGGCAGTCCTCAGGTCACCTATACCCACAGCCTGACTCCTCCCAGCCCTGCCAGCAGCAGAGCAAGTGGGGTGTGGACAAGCAAGCCAACATCAGCTGGCTTCTCGAAGCTGCTACTTTGGGCCTCCGGGATCTGCTCCGAGCAGTGCTGCTTCAACAACTGCTTTCTCTTGAGACTGGAGTCTTAGGCTGCGCTGGGGACTGGCTAGAGCTTTGCAGCTGCTCCTATGGTAACTGAGAAGTGCTCAGGACTGGCTGGCCCTGGGGCTTCCGAGTCCCTAGTCCCTCACTTAGCAGATCCCAACCCCACGCCTACTTCAAGGATCAGAGAGACCCACTCAAATCTCAGCCTCGGCTTAGCTTCTCTTCCGAAAGGACTTCCTTCCCGGAAATCCTAGGAAACTCCTATTCCGTGTGGCAGGGGCCGTGCTGCATTGCTGTCAGTCCAGTTTTCCCTCAGGCACTTGGCTGAGGGGGCGCCTGGCCGAAGCAGAGCCCCAGTCCCTGCACTCAAGCCCTCCCAGACCAGTTGGGAAGCCGTGTGTGCACACTCAGCACTTTTCGCAGCTGCATAGAGGAGCACTTTGTTAACTGCAAGGCTGCGTTAATGAATAATTAATGTAAGAGAAGTTCGGGGAAGATGGAGAACACCGAGGCTACGGCCCAGGCTACTCTGCTGAGCCGGGAGAAAGCAAAGAACAGACCTGAGAGCGTGTCTCTGAGGACACACTGACGGCCCCTCCCAACTCTGCTGACTCTCTGTCCTAAGGTGAGCCGGGGTGGCAGCGATCAAAGGGAAAGGGATTGCTGTGAAGCCTTTTTTATTTCCTGTATTTTGATGCTGTGGCTCCTGCAGCCTTGCTGAGCCAGAGGGCCTGTCCTGCCCAAGGCTAGCCAGCTCCTACAGGCAGTAAGGGAACTCCTTTTGAATGCAAACCAAACAATCCAGAATCCCCAACACCCTGTCCCCCCTTCCCCCACCTCCTTGATCAGCTAGAACCCCTAGCCACTAGCCACTTGCCCTAATGGCCCTTAAGAGCCAGGCACAGAAGCCTAGGACAGCCCCTATGCCCTGGAGCCTGCTACATTAACCGAGCTAGCCGATCAGAGAGCTTACCCTGCCTCTCCTCTCCCTCCTTCCTAGGAAACCACAATAAAGGCCACTGCCCACAGCTTCCCTTGCTCTCCGTCTCCTGACCAACCCTGGTGCCTCCACATGCGCTCCACCCCCAACCCTTCATGTGCGTGCATTCTCTAATTAGATCTGAGCGTGTAAAAACATATCTTCTCAATGGCCGTCTCCTCCTGATCTGTTACGTTCGCCATGCCTCAATGAATAAAACTTACATTTGAAAACAGCGATGAGGTCAGCCGGGAACACACTGACCTTTTTTTTTCCAGTTGCTTCTTATGCGTCAGGGAGAAAGGTACACTGAAGAGTCAGAGGTTCTACATTCAAGTTCTAGCCTCTCCTTTCTGCGTAGACAACTTTGCATGTCATTAACTTCTGGGGCCCTCGCTTCCCTTCTGTATAAAAGCGGGAATGCTGAGCCACGTACAAGAGGCACGGGTGAGGCGATCTGAGATACTGTGTTGAGAGTGCTTTCTAAACTACAAAGTCAAGATGTTCCTATGATTCTTCCATCCTGACCTCTTGTAAATCCTTGGCGATGGGCACCACCTCATAAACGTCCCCCCCAGGCCCATCACACAGTGGGTGCGGAGGAAAGCACCACGACATGGCTCATCTCGGGTGCGAAGCAGCCTTACCTCCCTGGTGGAACTCTCCACAAACGGCCCCCCGAACATGGCAGCCATCCAGTCGCAGCTGGAAATCAACAGGGGCTTGTGGGCGCTGATGGTGCCGTCATCCAGGATGAAGGTCACGTCTGCCCAGGAGGAGACGAAGCATCACGTGAGGATGCAGTGAAAGCACCTGGGGCAGCCCACCCCGAGGGCCAACCCTGCCCCCAGGCAACACGCCTCCTTCTGAAGCCACAGCCGGGACGCGCCACGTGGCCCCACGCCCAGGCTCCAGGCAGAACCAGCGCCTCTCGGGGGCATCAGCAGCTGAGGGCTCACCGGGGCCCCCGGCTCCTCGGAAGGCTACCGAGAGGGCACCCCTCTGCCTTCTGGCCACAAGTTCCCTACCTGAGAAGGTGCCCTTGGCCAAGCACTCCTTCACCCGGTTGGTGCGGCGGACGTGGAAGGCCTTGGTGATCTCCTGGTTCATGAAGGCCTCGTTGTTGAGGATGTTGGCCACCATCATGCGCAGGTCGAAGACCTCCAGCAGCTCAGCAATGTGGGCGATGTGCATGAGGTCCCGCTCCTTCTCGTCCAGCTCCCCCGTGTACAGGTACTTGAGAACGGCCCGGAAAGGCCCCGGCTGGATGGAGCTGTCCATTTTGACCACCACCATCAGTCTGGATTTGTAGGTCAGCGGGTCTTCCGCCATCTCCTCCTGGATGCTCAGGAAAGCCCGGCTCCAGGAGGACAGCACGCGGCCTCTCCCCGGCAGGTACCCTGTCCCGTTGCCCCGTAAGATGCCGTCGCTGGTGGAGGCCCGGAGCCCGGCAGGGCCCGAGCCCGCCCCGTCCTCCACGCTCTCGCACACATCGAAGCTGGCGGCCCGCAGCAGGAAGTCCCGGCCGTGGTGGTGATGGTGATGGTGGTGGTGTGGATCGGGGTGAACCCGGGGGTCCTCTGGGCGGGGGCCCCCCGGCCCCGAGGGGCCCCCCAGCTCCCCGTCGCTCAGGTCCATGAGGAACAGGTCGTAGAACTTGGAGGAGGACGTGGAGAGGTAGATCTTGTGGGCGAAGATGCGCACCCGCTCCTGCAGCACCAGGATGACGTCCGCGCACAGCGGGTCCTCCAGGAGGTGGGCGGGGCACTCCTCGCTGCTGGAGGGGGGGTCGGGCACCACGATGATGGGGGGCGGCGGCTTGGGGGGCAGGAAGGGCGCCTGCAGCAGGGGCCGCTGCACATTGCGGAGGTGGGACTTCCAGAACTGCAGGTGGCGGCGGGAGATGAGGGCCGCGCGGATGGCGTTGTCGAAGACGTCCTTGATGCCGAACTGGGCCACCACGCTGGTCTCGTAGTAGGGGATGCCCAGCTCCTTGGCCACCTCCCTCCCCTTCTCGGGGGGGAGAATCTCATTGGGCTTGATGGGCCTGGACGTTCAAGAAGGTAAAGCAAAGCCATGTTGGGGAGGATGGCAGACGGGGAGAGGCAGGTCCCTAGGGCCTGTCTGTTCTTCACCAGGCTTGGTGGGGGGTGAGGAGGGGAGGGAGAGCCTCTCTCTGGCCTCACCCCTGCCCTGTCAGTCCTAATGAATCTCTGCCCTTTCTCCTTTGTCTGACCAAATCCTGCCGGTCCTCAAGGCCTGCCTCCAGGTCCCTCTTTTCCAGCACCTGTCAGGCCCCGGCGATTTCCCGCTCAGAGCAGTGTTAGCACTACCTCTCCCTCCGGCCATCAGCATGCGATTTTCCACACTGGCTTCTAACGTGTTCTCATATTGACACATTGCGGATCAGCCGTTCTACTGCTAGCTTTACCCAGCAACCAGGTACGTGTCTACTGAACAAGTACAAAGGACATTTCACATACATGCTAAAGGCACGCTTTAAAATGAAATGCCCACTGCGTTCTGAAGTTATTTACTACCTGTTCTTACAAGCCGTTATCTTTTTAAAGAAGTCTCGCGTGATTGGCCACAAGCCTTAGAACAGAAAACGCGAGAATTCTGGTGATCCGTCCGCAATGTGTTAAGTCCATCTCCCAGCAAGATAAGTTCCTTCCACGAAAAAAACTACTTCTCTCCTTCTCTCCTCATGCTGCTCAGTAGAGCAAACACAGTGTGTAAGAGGTGGACGGATAGACGAGTGAATGAAAGACAGCACACTTGGCTCCCTACACGGACTTGCTTCAAACAAAGGGAGAGATGTACAGCTAAGTGAATTCCCTCGGGATTCGGCAGGGAGCCATGGAGACACAACCTCCCGCTGTCTCCCTCATTGCCCCCTCCTGGCACCAGCCTCCCTACCTAGCCAAGGGCCGCCTGGCCCTGTTGACAGCCTCCAGGTCGGCGTAGCGCAGGTCCAGCTGGCAGCCCACCAAGATGACAGGTGCCCGGGGGCAGAAGTGCTTGATCTCTGGGTACCACATGGTCTTGACATGGTGAAGGGAATTAGGGTTGGCGATGGAGAAGCACAGAACCACCACGTCGGACCTGGGGGTGGGAGAGGGAGGTCTGGGGCAGAGAAAGCTGGCAGAGTCCCTGCCCCTGGAACCAGGGAGAACAGGCACACCCTCCCAGCCCTGCATGGCAGTCCCCCATCTGTCATGTGACCTGTGCACACAATCTTTCCCAAAATGTATAATAATAGTTCCTCTAATTTATATAGCTCTAATTAAGTGTTTTAGAGCTTTCGTTTTGACCTACTGGCTCCCTTGTCTTTGGTACCTAGAGACTGAGAAAAACCATCTCTGAACATCTCCTCTGATTGACCTAAGTCGCAGAGCTAGTCGGCAGAGGGGCCGGTACTGAAACCAGGCCTCCTGCCCCCAAACCCACTCCTCACACCTCCCGGCTGCTCCCCGTGAGGACCCACCAGGCCTGTCTGCACTACTCCTTCTTCCCAGTCTGACTACATTGAGTGGCCAGATTATGATGATCTCTGAACGCATAATGATCTGGCCACTCAGTATATATTAGAGGCCCAGCACATGAATTCGTGCATGGGTGGGGTCCGGCCAGCCTGGCCAGGGGGAGGGGACATGGGCAGTTGGCTGGCCTGCCTGCTGGTCGAACTCCTGGTCAAGGGGACAATTTGCATGTTAGCTTTTTATTATATAGGATGTACACTGAGTGGCCAGATTATTACGCGTTCAGAGATCATCATCATCTGGCCACTCAGTGTACATCAGAGCTTCTCAGCGTTGGGGCGAGCGGGGGAAGCCCGCCCCGGGCTCCTCCGGCAGCAGAGGCCTCCTACCTCCCATAAGCGAAGCGGCGGTCTTTGTGGTGGTCTCCGAAGGTGTCCCAGAGGCGCAGGGAGACGCTGACGTCGTCTACCACATCTCGGGAGCGCTCCAGAACCTGTGGGGGAGGGAGAGTGCAATGGGCGTCGAAGGCGGGAGTCCTTGGGGCCCGCGTGCCAGCTCAGGGTGGTGCCAGCTCACCCCGGAGGGTCCCGGGCAGCATTGGGGGGGGGGGTGAAGGGCAGAGTGAGCACACCCCATGTGCCCCACACAACCTTTCTATCCAGGTGCCTTCTCTACAGACTCAGTAACAAAGGGCACCTCCGTGCCGCCCAGGGGGAAAGAGAGGCTAAGCGGGCATGGGGGTTCCCAGCGCCACCTGCAGACCACCTGTCTGCCAGCCTCTGACCTTCTGGTATCAGCCAGCACTTTTCTTATCTCAGCTTTCACCCCTGCAAACCCTGCCCCACCCCGCCCGCTAGGGCTCCCCCTTCCTGGGACTGGGATTGCACCAGACGCTGTGCCCTGGCATCAGCTCAGCCATGCTAAACACTACCCCACACTGGGGTAGACTCCCCTCAGCCCTCCGTCCAGGGCTCCTTCCCTCTTCAGCTGCCCCACCCTCCCCCATGGGGCTTCCGTGAGCTCAGCACAGGCCAGGCCTGGAGACGCCAAGCAATGGTTTGGGAAGAAGCCCGGGGGCCTGGTGTGGACCCCTGCCCAGCGGCCTTGCAGCCTTACCTCCTGGCATACCCGATACTGGTCGATGGCCCACACCGTGGGCACATGGGTGGCGAGCAGCTGGTACTGGGTGAGGGTGGCATTGCAGGCCCGGGCACAGATGAGCCTGGTCTTGCCCACGGCGTTGTCCCCCACCACAACGCACTTGATGGTCTCTACGTTTGGCCTTTCATAATCCATGTCAGAAGCCATTAATTGGGACCTGAGGGAGAGGAGAGAAGGGGTCGAGGCGGCTTCGCACACCAGGTCCCACGGGGCCGGGGCCGGGGCAGGCAGCTCTCCTCGGTCGGGGCGCCCCTGTGCCAGCCGCTGAGCCGAGAGGAGAAAGGAGTGGGCAGCTCTCTGGGCAGCAGAGCCCACTCAGGCTGAGAGGAGCCTTTCCACGGGAGGAGCCACGTGTCTCCCTCTGCTGGCCGCCATCCTCCCCGTGGGCTTCTGGATGGAGGCGGCCTGGGAGGGAACTGGGGCGGAGCAGTCCCGGCTCCCGCAGAGGGAGGAGAGCCCGCCCGGGAGGCTCACTCATCGTCCACGCTCCGGCCAGCACAGCACCAAACAGCTGAGGGAAGCCGAGTCAGGGCCAGGGCCCACCCCTTCCCAGCACGCCCCAGGGCAGGGCCACTTTAAAGTTTAATGGACTTGTCAGGGCGGGAGGCTGCGCCCCTGGCCTCCACCTCCTCCTCTCTCCATCTCCGGTGGTGGATTTCCAAGCCCCCAGCTCCCTCTAGGGCGGCGCCGGAGCTTCCCTCCCAACTGGCCGGGTGGGAGGCTTCTGGACGCACCTGCGCAGCCCACGGGCCTCCCGGCCCCCTGTGGGTCTGTCACGTGGCCTGCGTGGCTGGCCCACTCAGCGGCAGGCCCAGTTTGGAGATGGAGGTAATGGGTAGCCAGGGGCCAAGGACGATACTCTCCATGGCCAGTAGGCCTTGCCATCCCCTACCCAGGCCTGCCCTGCACACATCCTCCAGCCAGCCTCCGAGAGAGCGAGCTACACCCCCTCTTGTACCTCCCATTCCTAGGGAGAGGGGTTCTCAGGCTAGGAGTCCCTGTCCCTTCGTCCCCCCCTCTTCCCCCCGCCAACAGACTCCTGACTCTCCTAGGAGACTCCCTAACTTAGCTCTGATGGCTATGGGGCTGCTGGGGAGAGGGCGCACAGGGTCAGAAATGGCCTGGGTTTCTGGTGAATGCTCGCTTCCGTTTCCTCCTGTGTTGGGCGGAGAGGGCTGGGTGTGTCCACCCTCAGAGGGGATGGCTCAAATGAACAAACAGAAGGACCCCTACAATGCACATGTCATGTTAGGGTTTAAAAAGCTGTCACCAGGAGGGGCCCTCAGCGGGAGGGGGCTGTCGCCGGCAGCCTATCAGCCGGCACCACCCTCTCAGAAGCTGGGCCAAAGCAGGCATCATTTGGAGGCGTGACCACCAGGCCTTGGTTTGGGCAGCATCGTTGGTCTGGCCCTGCTCACACGGCCTGTGTGAATGAAACCCGCTGGGGGCTGGAGCAACTTGGAGAGAACCTTCCGAGCTCAGAGGAGTCTGGAGGCTGTCCAGGTGCCCTCACTGCTGAGCCACCCAGTCCGAGCGCCAGGCCACCAGCGGCCGGCCCAGGGGCGCCATTCCTGCCGGGCTGTAACTGGATGCCAGCCTGCAGGAATGCAGAGTCAAAATATCCAAGTAACGATGGCAACTGGGGTGTGCGCAAGTGGATGCATCTCGGCGACCTAAGCAAAAAGTGCAGCAAGCACTTCTCAATGAGACACGTGCCTCCTCCTTGGAATTTTACAGGATCTGGAGCCGGGACAGCAGGGTCTCCATGCAGGCCCTTCCTCAGTGTCCATCTTCCTCTCCCTCCTCCATCCCACCCTCACCTTCCCCAGGGGGCAACCTTTACTGTAACCACCACGCCGCCTCCTCCCTGCTCTCCCTCCTTCCCAGCCACTGAGGACCAGGAACCCTGCTTTGACCGCTCCTGGACTCAAGCAGGCAGCTGGGAGGCTGTGCTGGAGCCGGGAGGGATCATCTGGGTTGTGGTTTCTGTTTCAATTGAAGAACAAAACAGACAGAACCCCAAATACAAACATAGACACAGCTGTAGGAGAGAAAGGAAAACATTCTAGCCAGGAGAACTTCTTTCTCAAATTTAGATGCTAGGGCGGGCGGGGGGTGGGGAGTGGGGCAGTGTGAGGAGGCACGGAGAAGGAGGGTCAGCTCTTAAGTCCAGGAGCATCCTGATGGCAGGGAGGATGCCAGAACAGCAGAGCAGTGCCGGTCCAAGATCGGCAAGTTTACGATAAAGCACTCAGGCACAAGCGCATCCGTCAGCAAGGCGGCATGGCTTCCGAAGGAGGTGGTGCTGATGCTGCGGCCTCCAGCTCGCATCCCCACAGGTCATCGTCCTGCTCTTTGTCCCAACGTTATATCCATCCCCTCGAGCCCTGGTTTCCCTTTTCAGACCATCCTGACCATGAAGAGCCTCACCGTCTGCCATGGGAAAGGAGTGTGCTCTTTACAGAAATGGAGCTGCGAGTCAGAAACACTTGCGTCCCAATCGCCTTACGCCTGCGGGGTCACGTAGGGACAGCCGCCCCAGTAGGAGAGCGCCTCGCGCTGGGCTGTGGGTTCGGACACCAGACCCCGCTGGCTGCTGCTCAGACTGGACAGCCCCCTCTTCACCCTTCCTCCCCCTGCTCCTCCTTCATGTCCTCCCTATTTCCATCCTTCCCACCCACTCCACCCCTGTCCCTGCTGCCCGCCTGGCAAACTTCTTTGTCCTGTCTAGGAAAGGGCAAACCACTTCACTTCTCCGGGTGCGTCAGTCTGCCCTGCTGGAAAATGGGTATGAGGGCTCTGGGCGCAAGTCTCCCAAGCCTTGGTGAATTTGTGCCAGTAGAGGCTGGGCCGAAAGAAGGCCCTTGCCTTCTTATGTAACGTGGGATTATATAAGACTAGATTACATATCTATATGTGTAATTATATCGCGCTTTAAGATATAGCCTGGCCCAATGGAGCCAGCAGAACGCTTAGTTTCACCGGGCCTGCCTGAAACAGATCCTGCTGCACTGCAGCCGGCCCGCCACCAGCCACAATGCAACTTTCACTCTAAAATATTGTTACTTTTATTGTGTCACTGATGATGGGTGACGCTATAGCCCACTCAATGAGCTCCTCAATTTCCCGTTTCCTTCTGGCACTCTCTCCTTCAATGACTCTTAACTTTTCTGCACAATTGCCTCATCCCCAGGCCTTCCGAGAATCCTGAATAACCTCCGTGAACGACAGCTCCCATGCCACCCTGGCCTGGCATCACAACACGCAATTCCCTCCTCTCCCGGTGGTCCCAGTCACCCAGATGCTCCCTCCGCACCCGGTCCCATGATCCCTGCTCCCTTTCCAGAAACAGCCTCCTGCCCACTGCGCTCCCAGCTCTTGGTACTCAGGGCAAACCAAAAGGCAAGGTGCGCTCAGATGATCTACAACCCTCCTCCCTGAACCCCAATCCCACCCCCACACCCCTACAAACACACTCTGCAGAGCCCGGAGAAGCCCCCCTTTCCCGTCCACAGCTGAGGGAGGCTTGTTCATCTGCGGCTGCCCTAGTCTGGTTGTCAAGGAAACTACAGAATCTCCCTGGGAGCCTGGCTGGTCTCCTAGCAACCAATATCCCACACCTCGCATCTTACCAAATGGGTAAGGCAGGAATATCCTAAAAATGAAGGTAAAGATAAAAGAGGAGGGATGGGAGGGGTGGATTGGGGAGAGATGAGCAGAGAGGGGGGCCTTCAAATGAAAGGAGGCTGCGACCAGAGCCTCTGACATTGTAACATGAGGGAAAACAGAGAGATGAGTCCCTGGAAGATCCAGCGGTCAGCAAGGCCCAAAGGGATCTTGAATGACCATCTTAACAGAAACGCAAAGCCTAACACAGACCAATCCTTCTCAGACACCAACGACCAGTGCTGGAGATTTCTCCCAGGAGTTTGCCAGAACTCAGATGCACAGACTGCAATGTGTCGGGTTGAAAAAATACATACATTTCTGGAACGACAAGCAAAGCACCCAGATTCCATTGGTTTTTAACGGAAACATGTCCACCACTCTGGACCTTCTTTCCTGACACACGCACACACATACAGAATAAAAATAAAAATAATAAATATAAAGCGGGCAGGGGACACACCAAGGCAATCAAGCTCTCTTCCTTTCCCCAGAAAAAAAAAAAAAAAAAAAAAAGGAAAAGATCAGTCCCTTGCCGCCTGAGACCCCAGCAGCTGCCACGATAGCCCCGGGGAGAGTGGGAGCCGCCGAGGGGGAGTCAGGAGGGGCGCAGACCCGGCCCGGAGGGCGCAGCGGCGCGTTCCCAGAAGCTGTTTGCAACCCGGCCATAACAGGAATTAATCATTTACTTACACCACTACATGTGACGGGGTGATTTCTAGTGTAAGGAACACATCGCTTCCTGCTAAGCACGCTCATCTTAGTGAAATGTCTGGGGTCACTCCGCGCGTGCAAGTTAGGGCGATGCCGGCGCCGCCGAGCTGCTGCCGGAGCTGCTGCCGGGGCTGCCGCCGCTGCTACAGGCCCGGGCCCTGGCGCGTCAGATCAGAAACTCCGCCCGGCAGCCGGGGCCGGACGGCGGCCCGGGAGCGGCCGCGCGCGCCACTGCAGCCCTCGCCCCTTCCGGATCAGCATCGCCCCGCGCCCCGGGCGCCCAATGTCATGGAGGAGACGCCGGAGCCGGGCTGCGCGCGGCCGCTCCCACCTCGGGCGGCCGGGCCGGGCCGCGCCGCCGCCGCGGGTCCTCGGGCCGCGCAGGCTGGAGCGGCGATGGGGCGAGGCCGCCGCTGCTCCGCTCCGCCCCGCCCGCTCCGAAGGTGCCCGGGACCGCTGGCGACCTCCTTCTTTCATTCACAAAAAAAAGGAAAGGGGAAAAAGACAGAGAGAGAGACTCCGGAGGAAAAAAAAAAAAAAACAACGGGGAGGGGAGTGATGAATTGCACAAGAAGGCTGGGTGACAGACTCCGCCCACCACAGCGCGTGGTTGGTGAAAAGGAGTTTGGGGGGCGGGGAAAGAGGGGGATTGGGAGCCCCGGCGGCCCCGCCCACAGCGCACTCCCTCCCTCCCTCCCTCCCTCCCTTCCTCCCTCCCTCTCTCCTTTCCTGCCCTCCTCCCTCCCTCCCCGTACCTCTCCTCTGGGAGTGGCAGGGCGCAGGTAGTCTAGGCTTGCTCCAAGTGCCAGGTTGCGTCCCTCTACCTGGTGAGGCTAAAAACCCCTCTGGTCTCCCAAGGGATTGGCCCCCTTCCCTCCGGGAAGCTGAGAAAGAATTCCAGGAGCCATCCTAGTGAGTCCGTCCTGGAAGAGATGCGAATTAGAGGAGGGGAACTCGACATTTTTTCCCTGTCCTTTATTTTATTTTTAAAAATATATATATTTTATTGATTTTTTTACAGAGAGGAAGGAAGAGGGATAGAGAGCTAGAAACATCGATGAGAGAGAAACATCGACCAGCTGCCCCGTGCACACCCCCTTCTGGGGATGGGCCTGCAACCAATGTACATGCCCTTGACTGGAATCGAACCTGGGACCCTTCAGTCCACAGACCTATGCTCTATCCACTGAGCCAAACTGGTTTCACCTTTTCCCTGTCCTTTAACCCAGCCCCCCACTGCTTGCCCACGAGGCGACGGAGACAGCGTTTCTGCCATTTCTGCCGATGCGGGCATTTTCCTGGCACCGAGTGTCTTCTCTCCATCACCACCCGGCAGCGGCAGCCTGGGCCTGGGACTGGGTGGGTCCCAGTGCCCCCTGCACCTGTTTCCCCCCCTAAGCCGTCTCCCCCTCTCTGTCCTCCTGCAATTTCTACTTCCTACTTCCATACTATTGCCGCCAGGAGTTCTCCAATATCTTTGACCTCTGAGAAAAATACCTCGAAGACACTAGTCCTGGAAGATGGTACCTAAGATGCCTCGGGCTCTCTGTATCAAAGTACTCCTCTGTAAAATGGAGATAACGTCTGTAAGATGAGGGGTCCTCAGAGGAAGTTTCCATGTTCGAGGCTAGTTTGCCTATCATGATGCTGACTGCTAATCATTACAGAAGTTAGCTCAGTCTGGTGTTCTCGGTCTTGCCGTTTACCTCCGGATACTTTTCAAAGCCCAGAGGGGCATGCCTTTCACTTAGCCCCCTCCATCACACCTCCAACGCATGCTCCAAAAAAAATGCAAATCCACTCTCATACTACTTTATGCAAAATATGATTAGGAAGAAAATCCATTGCTGTTGCCCCACCCCCATTCAAAAAAAAGCCAAATTTAAAAATGAATTTTGCCCCATCTGAAGCATGTTCCCCAATGGGTATAATTGGAAGTTGCCCCTCAAGGTGCTCATGGTAAACATGCTTCCCCTGCCTCCTTTGGAACCTAGCCGGAGCTGAAGAAGAGGTGGAGGATGAGTGAGGACGAGCTACTTCACACTTCTTTACAGTGTGGACTCACTTTCCATAAAACAGAGAACAGTGTCTTGAATACATGCTTAGGAGAGGAAACAACCACATACTTGTTTGAGGTTGAAGAGCCTCAACCCATAATCTCTGGCTGCTGGAAGTCTCTTCTTGGTGGTACCACGTGTGAGTGTGTGTGTGGGGGAGGGGGGTAAGGGGGGGGGGGCAGAGCGCCTTCCACCAACACCCTGTTCCACTCACCAGCTCGAGTGCCAGCCTATTGCCCTCACCTTTCACAGGTCAGGCAGCAGGCACAGCCCCGGACAGCGCAGACCAGGAAAACAGATGCCCTCTACCCAAAGCCACGGGACTACTGGGCCTGCAACCATGGAGCCAGGACCCTCTGGCGTTTTCCTTGTAGAAAATGCCATAGTGTTCAACAGGCTGGACTGTGGGGGTTCAGAGGGATAAGTTTGGCTGAGTGAAATTGCACCCCCTGCCCACACTCTGTAAACTGTCTTGGGCAGAGCCAGGTGCTCTGCTGGGGGGTGGGGGGTGGGTGGGAGGGAAGTGTCACCTTGATTCCCAGCCCTGCTTTCTGCCCACAATCCCCTTTCAGTTTTTCTTCAAAACAAAGTCCTTCCGGCCTACATCACCTCTCAGACATTCCCAGTCACAGCCCCTCTCGGCCCTCTCCCAGAGTCACAGTCCCCCCAAGTACACTCCTCCTCAAAAACCAGTTATCTCCCTCCACCCCTGGCCCTCCAGTCTTTCTCACTGTTGAACCATCACATCCATGGCCCACCCTGGCCTGTCTGGGGGCCTCTGCACACCTCCCTCGGGCCAGTCTACGAAGACCCTGCCTGGCGTTTCTCCCTCCAGGCACCAGCTCCCAGCATTTTCCTCACCCCAGGGCGATGGAAGATTCTGGATGCGAGGGGCAGATCACCAGCTAGCTCCAGCCCTCAGCCCCTGCTTCATTTGTGGCTGATGTCAGGTCTCCTAACCCAGGCCTGGCCTTCAACTAACTCACCCCTCCTGCCAATTTATGACAGTCTCAGAACCTTGGCTTCCGGGCCAAGGATCTGCCTGCCACATTTGCTCCATCTTTGTCCAGCCATCCAATACCAGACTTCTGGAAAACAAGAACATTCCCCGAGGCTGGATCCCTCACCAGCAACCAAGGAGTTATCAGAGCCCTGTCCCAGTCCCCAGTTTCCAGCCTTCAGCAGTGGGTCATGGCGCAGGTAGTTCCCCCCACCCCCTTCCCACCTCAGCTGCAGAGTCCATTTTCCTTGCTTCAGGCTACTTCTCAAGTCAGGCCTGGTGGGAGGCTTCTTCAGTCTCCTGGCCTCTTTCTCTGCCTCCTCTCATCTTCTGTTATTCATGCACGCACACCCCCACACACCAGCCTCCTCGCCCATTTCCTTAGAGGGCTGCAGAATCAGCTGTTGATTCTCCCACTAGCTAGCTGTCCTTCCACTGGTGGGCCTGGGCAGTGCTCTGCCATGGCCTGGCTTACTCACCCCAGGGTGGGCACAGGGGTGGGGGGTGGGCAATGTGTGGCTGCAGCCTGGGGGGTAGGGGCTATTGCAGCTTAGAAGCAGGAGTCTAGTTTCCCACCTCACTTCCATCTCTTCACTCATCAAAGCCCTCTTGTGATGCCTCCTTCTCGTGAACCTGTCCCCACATTTGTTTCATCTTTGTCCAGCCCTCCAATGCCATATAGCTAGGTCACCACCTATCTCTATCCCTAGAACCACCCTCCTTAGGACATCACGTGGCTGCCATCTTCCTGAAGCTGGAGGCCCAGTCTGGGGAAAGAACTCTCCATCCTGGTTCTCAGAAAGGTGCCTACACAGCAGGCTCTCAGCACCCAGCCCTCCTGTCCCCGTGTCACTGCAGATCCTTCCCCAGGGCCAAGCTCCCTATGCCCCCCTCCAGCCTGCCTGTTCCATTTGCTTCACAGGCAGCTCCAGCCCTTCACCTATTTGCAGGCTCTTAACCTCTTTTCTCTCCGCTCCTCTCCTGGACGAAGCCTACCCCACAGGCTTTGTGATGTGAGCTCTATCCCCGCCCCCAGTGTGCAGAGTCTGGGGCACGTGGCATTGCCGCCCTGTGCTTGGGGCAAAGTTCAGAACCAGCTGAGAGCAAAAGCAGAGGCCTCTCAGCATGCTGAGGCCCAGCAGGAGGAAGGCATCAAACCAAAAGCTGGGAGTCTCTCAGCCCCCATGCCCAGGGCTCAGCGGCATGGCCAGGTCTCCCCAAAGGGATGGAACCCTCCTGGATTTTTGCTCCAACAGTTCCCTCTGCCTGAACACTCTTCTGCTTCCCACCTCCTGGGCCTGGATAATGCTTAGTCATCCTTCACATCTCGGCTGAGATGTCACTTCCTCTAGAAAGTCTTCTCTGAATACCCCCTATAAATTCTGGGTTCTCTGCTCTTTCCCTGTGCTCCCCTAATAATACCAGTCTCACTGCCCTATCACCCTTCTCTAGGGTCTTCCCCTCCCCCTCAGTACTGAGAACACTTTAGGAAGGGACTATGCTTATTCAAAAGAGTATCCTTCAGGCTGATCTGGCAGCAAGCACTCAGTAGGTGCTCAGTAAACGCCTGATGGCTGAATGAATGAGGTGGGAAAACTTGATGGGGAGGGAATTCGCACCACCCAATGGCTATTCACATGTTGTCCAGAGACGTCTTTCACGGACTATACTGATCTTTTCTTTGGGTTGTCATTGATCTGTGCTTCCTCCAGGCTCCTGATTGGGCTGGGCCGAAGGGGATGGGACAGGGCAGGGGAGGACAGTGGAGGAGGAATGAGCTCCCTGTGAGTTACCCAACGAGGCACAACCATGTTGGTCAGCCCAAATGGAGGGTCTTCCTCAGAGCAAGAGCATGGCTCCTGCTGGCCAGGCCCAGTGGGCTGAGACACTCACCTGGGGCTAAGACAAAGGTCACCCCGGGGGTCTAGGGCTACTCCAGGGACAGGAACTGGGGTCATGGTCCATGCCATGCTGTGGGGCATTTACGCATTCTGAACTGGCTTGGTGATTTGGAAAGAGTGGTCCAATGCCCACAGGAGGCCTGAGGATTCTGTCCTCAGGCAGCTGTGTGATGTCAGACAATTCCCTCTCCTCTCTGGGCCTCACCTTCCTCTTGTACAAGAACAGGTGACCTCCAAGATTCATTCCAGCACTGACACCCAAAATAGCTCCCTAGCATGGGGGCCCTGTATTTTATCAGCCATCCTTTTCATTAGAGCAGCTCCTGACCCAAATCGGGACTCAGCAAAGTATCAGCTGATGGCTACCGAGGCTGAGAATGGAAGAAGGGCGTATTGGGGGGAGGAGGGATGGACTGAAAGAGAACCTGATTCTGCAACCATCCCTACTTTCAGTTTCCTTAAATGGTCACTCACAACATGGGGACTAGTTCAAGCCAAAGGAAATTCTAGAATTTCAGGAGAGATGGGGAATAATCAAGGATAGGCATGGAGAAGCCAGCCTGACCCCTCTGGGGCAGTTGGCACTGGGTTGTTAGAGGGTGATGAAAGGGCGTCTCTGTCACAACCCCCCAGGAGCAGGATGGTGACAAGCCAGAAGAAAGCCAAGGGAACAAAGACCCCCCAAATGTGGGCAGAAATGTGGGCAATAGCAGCCCTGCTAGTCTCTGCCACAAGGAACTGGCTGTGCAATGTTGGGCAATGACCTTGCCTCTCTGATCTTCCATTGGGGATGACAATGTGACTTGCCCAACGCTAGGGGGTGGCTAAATGGCCTTCTTACGGCACCTTCCAGAGCTGAGATCAGATGAGACTGTGCGATCCTTCTAACTCCCCTTCCACTCCTGCCTGCTTCTCCCCGCACAGACCCATGCTTAGCACCCACGTGTAAAGCGGGCCCCAACCCTATTTGTGTCTGTGCCACCTGGGCTGCCTAAGGGGAGCAGATGGCACAGAAGACACGGGCAAAACTGGGGTGGGAATTTCTGAGTGTCGAACTAAGCGGGGTTGGAAAATCTACGCCGACGCTGGCGCTGGAGCCCAGGAGATCTCCTGGGAAGTAAACAAACAGGGTGAGGCAGTCAAAGGAACACGGTGAGACTCCTGCTTGGGATCCTCAAAGCCCAGCTGGCCCCTTGCAGACCTGGGGCCACTGTGGGCCAGCAAGGCTGCTCCAGCCAGGAAGTGAAGAATCCACTCCCCGTCTGTCTGGCCGGAGCCTCCACTGGTAGACATAGGGCCCCTCTGCCCACTCACCCACACTCCTCTACCCTGGCCTTGGCTCCCAGGAGCCACCGCTGGCGGAGGCCTCCGCATACTCCATAGACTGCTCCTCTGAAGCAGGAAAACGTGAGCGCTCGGTTTATGTCTTTAAAGCACATGTGTCAAACACAAGGCCCGCGGGCCAAATCCGTCCCGCCAGGCCTTGCAATGTGGCCTGCACCGCGCTGTCATCACTGCACTCCGCTGCGTTTCCATCACAATGACAGTTTATGACTGTTCAGTAAACCATTCGGCCCGAGATTTAGGCTGGATTTTAGATTTTGGCCCCTTCTCTGATTGAGTTCGACACCCCTACTTTAAAGAGCTGAAACGTCACCATCACGAATGCCCTGGGGGAACACGTGGCCCACCGAGTCTGGGATGTGGCTTTCTTAGGACTGGACACTGGAAATCACCACCAGGTAGGCCTTCAGCAGAAAGAAGCCAGATGGTGTTCCTGCTTCTGCCTTCTTTTATAAGCAGAAAAGTGACACGAGGGAGGGGCAACTAAACCTTCACTTTATGCAAGCTGCAGACCTAGCGGGCAGGCCGAGCCATACAGAGCGGGGAGGAGGAGCTCCGAGGAGGCTGATCACCCCAAAATAGACTTGGGTTTTATTTTCACAACTTTTTCATGAGGCATTGGCATCTTGTGGCATGGAAAAAAAATAGCCCGAACCGTCAACAAATAAAGATTATAAAAAGCCCCAACTGTTCCCCGTGAGTTTCCACGTGGCCGCGGTGCTCTAGAGGGGGCTGGGAGGTGGGCGGGGGAGGGGGCAGAGGAGGTGTGTGTCCAGGAGTCGAAAGTCTCCTCTCTTCTAACCCATCCTGCCCCTCAGAAGCTGGTCCCCCGCAGCTCCCAGGGCTAAGGACTGATGTTAAGAGTGGGAAGGTCTGTGTTGCCCCCCAGAGGTGGCTGGCTGCGTGTGGATTGCTGTTTACTGCTCCAGGATGAGGAATGCGTGGCACAGGAGGGGCCGTCTTAAAAACACGCCCGGCGGCAATGAGGCCGCTTTAAATAAGGCCGCCCCACTGCGTGGACACGGCTTGTTTAGTAAACACTTAGAGGGCGCAGTGCTCTGGCCAAGGTCAGCTTACCCTGAACTTGAGCCTCCCCCTGGGCATTGCTGTGCGTCAGTAACCAGAGCTGAGTTGGGGGGGGGGGGGGTGTGCAGCTGCTTTTGATCCAGATGAAAGGCTTTTGTGGGTGATGCCAGGGAGGGACCTGGTCCTCACCTGCACCCTGATTTCCCCTTGCGGGGCTCCAGGCCAGACCCATTCCTGTACCCTCGGCCCCAAGCCGGGAGCCTTCCTGGAACTGGGACCCCAACATCACAAGGAAGAGAATGTAAAAGACGCTGGAGTGGAGTCTGGAACTGGGTTCCTGGTTCCTCGGGGTCCTGAGGACAGTCAGGAGGTTATCTGGGGAGCCTCCAGCCTCTAGCCCTGACTTTTATAACCAGAGGAGAGGAACGCTGATAGGAGTGATACACTGTGCTCCCCACAAAGTCTGGGATCCGTCAGGGACCCACTCCACCTGCCTTTACAGGCCCCCTTTCTTGTCTCCTCTCCTCCTCACCTCTCCTTCTCCCTTCTTTGTCTCTCCAAGTCTCTCCTCTCCTTCCC